GAGAATGTGGGGTGCCCACTTCAGAGGGAGCATCACTTACCCATGGCCCCAGCATTCCACCTATTTAAAACCAGTGTAGTCCCAGTGGTCTAATATGGGACTCTGAGTTTATTAGCCTTGCCTTAGGTCCTACAGGTAATAATTGTGAGTCTCTCACTGCACTGTAGGATCCTGTACAGCACCAACCACATAGTTGGTGCTCAGCACGTGTTCTGAATTGGACTTTCTAAGCACATGGGTCTCACTGTGCACATCTGCATACTCCACTCACAGCATCTCTCTCTTCTTGAATGTACTTTATCTACTCCAAAGCTCCAGGAACTGGTACCTGCTCTCATCCCTGTTGCCTATGGTGCTTGGTTCACCTGGCTACATCCTGCTCATCCTTCCCACCTCAGCTCAGATGTTACTCTCTCCGGATGCCTTTCCTAGACCTTCTTGTGAAATCAGCTTCCATCAGGAACTTGCCTTCAGAGCGTTCAGTACTTTTTCTTCATTATCATTATTGATTTGTTCTATGGACTTGTGTGGCTCCTTAATATTTATTTGCCTTACTCCATCACAAGATACAAAATGGTGAGGACAATATCACTCAACTCCCTAAGGCAGCCTCCATGTCTTGTCTGCTGCCAGATACCCAGTAAACACTCAAGGATTACATGAATGAATGAATAAATGAGCAAATGAACAAACATTTCTATGAAGAAGGCCATAGAAGGTAGAAGCCAGTGTGTCAGTAATAGGCACATCACATCCACTTCATTCTGCAGGGCATTGAGCCATGCCTGCTCACCCATCTAACCGTCCAGGGCTTAGATGATATGGATATAGGTTTGTCTTGTCTGAGATTGTGAGTGTCTTAAAGACTGGACACTTGTTAAATTTTATCTTCTGTTTGCAATACAGGGAACTGCATCCATTACCATCCCAAAAGTTTATTAGCACAGTTCCCTGTTTAATAAAAAGATGGCAGCTTCTCTACTTATTAACTCACACATTATACTCTTGTATTACCACAAATTGGGCTATATTCCAGAGCAAAAGTATATCAGCAGTGCCCACGATGAATGATTTTGTTGGTGGTTGTGAGACATCCTATTAGCGCTGGTCATCAAGTTTCTGTTGGTCCATGGCTTATTTGCTGAGGTTTCAAGACATTCTGTAAGCATCATTAACCTTATCTTGTCCAATAATTGCAAAAGTAGGAAAAGCATTGAGCGGGCAGTTTGGGAGACATGATTATGATGGAGCTTAAAGTGAAACACTTTTCCACAAGTGTGTAGCTATTGGGTATTTGTGGAATGTTTGACTCCAGGTAAAGGACATGGAGACTGTCTTATCCACCTGGAGCTAAGAAATGTAGATCCCACAGTGTTCTCAGTTCACACACACTGCCTCATCAGTGAGCCAGTGTGCATCACTGAGCACAGGCCTTGCGAGGACTTAGCAGCAGCTGTATTAGAGGCGTTTGGTTCCAACTTGCAGTGTGACGGGTGGAGTTCTAGACTGGCCAGGTCCTGGATTCACAGGCACTGTGGGGTATGGGAGCCCAGGGCTCACTGCTTGGTTAGTGAGGTTGTTAGGGCTCTACACTCCTGTGTGGGCGTGCGGGCACACGCACATTCAGCTGATGCCGGCAGAGGGCAGCAGTACGCTATGCGTGTTCAATTTGCATCCCAGATGAGCAAATCCCCAAGGATCTACAAAGAAAGTGGGTATCCCAAGCCTACCCTAATTCCTGAGTGTCAACGCTGGTCTGAGTAATTGCAAACACAGCCCTTGTACATGACGAAGGATTCCGGCTCATGTGAAACAGAAATGAATACACCACTAGGAGCTGCCATCACAGACAGGAAGTAACTTTAATTAAATATTGTGAAAGTTGAAAAGTTTTTACAGCTTGAATTTTTGCAAAAAAAAAATTATAACAATCTCTACAGTAGTTAGGTTCTCTAACAATTGAACTGTACAGTGTGTGTCTATTCAAAAAGTTTTGATAAGAAGGTGAAAGGTTAGTAGATTTAGAGATGACTGCATTAAGCTGCATCCTAGTACAATGTGAGGCCAGGGCATGTTATCCAATCCAGTCATCCAGAAGCTGTGTTATTCCCCCAAAACCGAAATCTTAATTCTCTATTTCATTTTCTTCTTAAAGCCATATTCTGTATTTAGGGGAACATCCTTTACTTACAAAACTTTTGTGGAGAATAAAGAGGGTCAGAGGGCCAGAATGTCTTTTTCATCTAATCAATATAAACAGATGCAACAAAACACAAATGATACACATTTTAAAGGCTCTTTGGACTTTCAAGAAAAGTTCTAACCACTGCACATGGCTGACAGATGGGTGGTGTCTGCTGCCGGGGCTGAGCCGGACACCTCACCGGCTGACCACTGGTTCCTTCGCAAACAGTTAAAGGGCCCACCAGACAAAATATGGCTTTACATTGTATACATCTTCAGGCCAGCACTTACCACACGAATCAGACCACCTCTCTGAGTACCGAGAAGCAATGCTAAACCTTGCTTACATTTTCCAGTTTTTATTATTATCAGTCATCATCATTATGATTTCTCACCATGAAAAATCAGCTTTCATCCCCCCCTCCCTCCCGCTGCTCCCCTCCCCCGCCCGCCCCAACCCATAAAAATCGCACTCTGACAGTCTAGTGAAAACCATTGCAAAATCCATATGGGGGCATGCACAGTTGCAGCATTGTTGTAAATGATTTCTTGCTCTACTAGAAAAAGTTACATTGTCTTAAGGTAACAAAACAGTTCTTTTGTGCTTTTCGATTTCTTTGTTGTTGTTTTTTTTTTCTTTTTTTCTTTTTCTTTTTTCTGAGAATGTTAGTGATGACTGAGAGTTCTGGTGCACAGTTGCAATGTACAAGTGAAATGAATATGATCTGCATGGTTAAGGCATCCAATCTGCTGGTTTATATTTATGTGAAGGACAGAGGAAATATACAAGCAGACTTAAGAAAGAAAGTATGTTCATTGATTTCTATGAAGTTTCTCCCCCGAAATTTAATGCACAAAATGCGTCACTCCAAAGGGAGAGATTCATGCATATTAATAGAGTAAAACAGCAATAGGGTTTTTTTGTAAGCTTCCAAAGCAAAGGATACATTTTTTTTTAAATCTACAGAACTAAGTACTACAAGAATAATATGCTACTATTTTTGCCATATATTGGAAAAAACTTCTTAACTTACAAATAATACAAAAATAGACAATGGCTTTTGGGTGGGAATAAAAAAAATTGAAGCATGGTTTAAAACAATACTAAAAATAACTATAAATGAAATGTTTAAAAATCACATTGAAACAGCTAATACAACTGTAGGTGACCAAACAAATACGCACTTTTCACATAGCAAACATACACAATAAAATAAATTGGGGGTGGAAGGAAGAGAGGAAGGGAAAAGCAATGTACAAATTCCAAAGATAAATACATTATTTATATGGATATTTTACAAAATCCCCTTTAAAACAAAAAGCCTTTTAATTAACTTTGCAAGTATGTGCAAGCTAAAGGTAGTGAGCTTTTTTTCTTTGCAAAATATGCAGTAAAATCTTTTTGTGATATTGAAAAACTGTCTTAAGACATTAAAATGTATAAATAGAACAACAACTTTGGCAAAAAATCACAAAAAATCTACAGTATTTATAACTACATACAAAAACACAACCGCAAAGAAAAAAATATCAGGCAAACGCATCCTCAGAGCTTTGCTGCCTCTTTGCCATTAACTCTTATATTTAAGAACACTTTCCAGCTACCGAGAGCAAAAATTCCCATAGAACACAAAACTATGTTTTGGAGGTCTCCACCTTCTTTCCCTTTCCCCCAGTTTCCTTTTCCTCTTAATTCCAAAGCACTTAACGTGTTGTTCGAATCTGTGACACTGTGAACGGAAGGCTCAGTGACACAGGCCCTGTCTTGAATGGGACAATCGAAATAAGCTCCACGGTGCTTTAGTCAACTTTTGGAATCTTGGTGTGAAGTCAGCAGTGAGGCTGGTACAGTGTAAGTGCGAGTTTGGCTTGGGAACTGGAGGGCCGAGTGTGGAATTCTGTGCCTGGACCCTGTTCTGTGGAGTCTCAAAAGAGATTCTCACGTAGTCCGCGCGCCTCTGAGCTCTCAGAGGCCGGCGGCTTTGAAAGGGGCTGACGTAAGTCAGAGAGAGAAGGAAGGATATCAGGTTTAAATATGCAGTTTGAATGATCTGTCTAGAGGCACTGGATTTTTTGAGTAGAAGGGAAAAATGTGATCACTGACATCGCTTTTTCACTTTCCAGGCTGCATTTATATACACAGTCACTTAAGACAACAATATAAAAGAGATAAATAAACAGGCTTGCACTGCTAAGGGATGGCAGATGAAGTTAGATACTGCGAATGCACGGTCTGAGCTAACTACCATTTGATATGCTTTAAGGCGCAAAAGCCGACCCTTAGTTTTCTAAAAAATCTAACTGGCATTCCTATTCTGTCCCATACAAGCTTTTTTTTTCTTTTTTCAAACTTTTTTGTAAATATCACCAGTTCATTCTCCCTTTACACAGCTTTAAAAACATCATAAATTAAAACATGGAGTCTTATTTATAGTGTCCCTTGTATATAGCTTTACGGTTTATAAAAGACAAATGATTGCAGAGTTAAGCTTTAAAAAAAAAAAAAAAGAAAAAGTGGATTTGCTTTTATCAGTACAGAATAAATATATCCCCCAAACACTCGGGAGGTACAGCTTTAACCAACACCCTGCACTGGCAGATTCCTTCCAATTTCAGTATTTGCAAGGTCGGTGATTTTTGTTTGTTTAAAAATCTGCAGTTATTGTGATTCCTCTTAAAAAGGCCTGAGTTAAAAGTTCCACTCTGGGACTTGTATCAGATTACTCTCTGTAGCAGAATCCAACCTCTTCATTAATAAAATTCTTCAAGGCAATCCTTTCACATGGGAGGAACAATCATGCCAGATATCGCTATGGAAAGAGAAGACAGAAGTCAATGGCTTAGCATTCAAACTTCTCACTGAGGGGAAAAAAAATAAAAAGCACCCACACACATCTACATTGATTGAATATTACCCACACACGTGCTCTCATCATCTCTGGAGTAAGTTTTTGTTATAATACATATATGTACTGTATTAAATATTATAGTATATCAGCATGCATATGTATCTCCATCAGAACAGAATAGCCTAAGCATCACTCCAAATCTGATTGCAATTTAAAAACATGACTGGAAAGTTAAATAGTTTGAATACCATTGGGAAAGTTACAGCCCCAAACTTTGCAAAACAGTGAGAATTTTCAATCTGTCCCTCTTACCCACATCACCTCCCGGCCCTGACTTCACATCCAGAATATAAATTGGTCCATCCCATTTGCCAGTAATTTTCTAAAAGCAACAATAACACCACCACCTACGACTTTGCTGTGCACAAAAATGGAGCCACAGGGCAGCCTTCTGAATGCCTTCGCATCAGCCCTCAGGCTGTAGGAAACACAGCCGCTACTACGGCAGGCCTGCTCACTGGGAATGTGGAGTTGGGGGAAAGCTCAGAGCGGGAGGGGGAGACAAGTTGGCATGAAGCTGCGGAAGGTCTTCACCGCTGCTTTGCTCCTGGTTTCTGGAATGTTCTGACTATGCTTCCTAGAAAATTGTAGCCTAGGAAAACTAGAGTGAGATCCTGGGAAACAGGACGGCTCTTTGAAGGGTTCAGACTTAGGCAGCTAAACCTACTGGTATATGGAGAGAAGAGAGTCAGGTAGGTCAGCCTTCCCACCTCTGGTTTTCCCTGGGCCATAGCCACTCGGATCCTTGAACTTCAATCTCCTTGGCTAGATAATGCAGTTATTCACTTGGTTTAAGGTTGTTGGAAATTTAAATAAAATAACAAATATGTGAAGTCCTTTGCTTAGGTTCCTGGTAGGAGTTAGCTGCATATCACTTGTGCTGTTAAACTAGCTGTGTGACCTTGTGTTAAGTGTTTAACTTCTCTGGGCCTCTCTTTTCTCTTATACCCAACAGGCACATTTCACACAAGGCTGTGGGGAAGTCTGGGATATCGATAAGACCGTGAAGGTGGAGCAAGCGGCAACTCTGAACTACATCAAGGGGAGAGAGATTCTTACATTACAATCAGGAGGCAGCCATATTGGACTCACCACAACGGCTCAGCATCCTGTCAAGCAGGGAAAACTTCCTGCCTTCTTTTTACTGGCAGTCCTAAACTTCAATTAATGTTCTTGTCAGTGATGACTGTGTTTAGGAAGTGGCCCTCTTCATTTACTAACGATCCTGTCTAGAGGAATGGGTCTGTTTAAGTGAACCCCACTACTACAAATCCTGCAGGGGACACAGGGAGGCCAGGAGGTGGGGGCTCTGCACCCTGAGGCCACCACACGCCCTGACGTTTTAGATTCAATTAGAACAAACACCAAAAAGTATTTTGCCAAACACTTTTTCCGTTAATTTTTAAACCCATCTGTATTCACAAGGAAATTCAATCCACATGTTTCTGATTCATTTACACGTAAATCATCCAAATGTTGTTTTGCAAGAGCCCCTTTGCAGGCCAAAAGCTCCTGGAGTCCTTTTTGTAAGCCCTCATAAGCCTTTTTTTCTTAGAAACAGGAAGTTGTCTTTTGCCAAATGCAGACCAACTTAAACCCCCTGAAAGATTTGAGATCAGAACAAAATGCAGTCCCCCCAAGAATCAAATGAACCCTAGATCTGACTAAAGCCAGGAGCTCTGTATTTTAATCCAAGTCTGAACTTGAGCATTGAAGACGTGGTGACGCAAAAGGCAAGGGGGGAGGGGAGGGGTCTTTGCAGTGTGACTGCTCAGCAGGGCCCTGCCTCTTCAAGGACATTTTTATTCCGGCTGGAATGGGGTCCAGGTACCCTTTCTAAAGATTGCGGCAGTTTTAAGCCCATGGCTAAAGAGGCAAGTCTACTTGTGAATTCTACAAGAAAATTCAAGAAAAGTCCCTCACAGTATAGCCAGATAAGCTTAGGCAATGTCAGTATGACTCACAGTAAAGCAGAGAGCTGACACTGCTAATATGGTCAATAGGTCCGGCCAGTATTTATAGCTGGGCCCTAAAAACATCCCATTGGGTGGCTAGATTTTTTGTTTAGGTACCCAAACACTGCTAAGATCTTATAAGGAATGTGCTAGATCTGTCAGATGGAACCGCCACTTAGGACCATATTTAAAGTTCTGAAACAAAGCTATTTTAGGTGGCAGTCGGTAGCTAAGAGCACTTCTTAACCCAGACTCTAGGGGTTCCAACTGCAGCACCCCAGGGGCCCTGGCTGGGAAGGGAGTGAGCAAAGCCTCCGAGTGGGGATGGAGGTGATGTAGCCAGTACCATCTTCTTTAGAGTGCACAGCAGTCAGGCCCACCAAATGTCGCCACACAGGAATGACAGTGTACAGCCTCCAGGACTTCTGACCTCTTTCAAGACAGCTGGAGTTGTCGAATTTTAAAGACAAAATAGCCAGGGTATCCATGTCAGCAGATAATAGAAATTAAAGACACACACACACATCTGAGGATCTCTAGAGGGGGAACGTGGTCGGCTCCTCCTTTCCCATTTTCCTTCAGTGGCCTACAGACTTGTGGGAGAATCTAATGGAAGCTGTCAAACTCTGTGCAGAAAAAGGCCCAGAATTTTATTAACATCACAAGTTACAGAGCCCTAAACCTCGCCTAGGACTTCCAAAACTCCATGTGCAGACACTTATTGATGAGTAAATCCGGGCTACGATCTCCACTCGTGGCTCCTCAGCATAGCATGGCAAAAGAAGCCTCTTTATGAAGAAACCTCACTGTGTGCCCACAGGAGGCTCTGAGGAGTTCGAAGCTGTTTTTCTTTTATCTGTGCTGCAATCTGAAAATTAATTATGTGGGTGAGAGGAATGGGTGTCTGAGGCTTGGAATGTTCCAGAAAAGCCGCTGGCATGTTAACTTGCCCAAGTGGGGCCCATGGAGATTCCCACGAGGACACCACACTCTCATCACAACACACCCAGACATCACGAGCCCATGGCTGCTCTGCTGTCTCCCCCAGCAGCTGGACCATCATGTTCTTGGACAGAGACTCAGGAAAGCATTGATTTGAGAAGCAATGCATTTTGCATGATTGTCTCCATGTTCTGATAAGAACAAAGAGGAAATGGGAAGTTTTCAGAACTGGGAGAGGTTGGGCTGAAAGAGTATGGTCTGCCCCAAACTACCGTATGTGTAAGAATTGTGAGCTGATCAGGAACAGGAGGTGGTGGTGGTGATGAGATTGAACAAACTGAAATGTACATGGAGAGGAAGGTGAGCACACAGAGCTGAGTACCAGACTCCATGCTCTCTAGGTGTCTAAGAGAGCCTGATCTTCAACAGAACGGGAAAGGAAAAAAAAAATGATCAGCATCTGTGGACTATTTCTGTGACATCACACTGGCCCTATTGTATTTGGGTCTGTGCTGTCTGGACTTTCCAGGACATGGCTAGAGTCTGAGTCGCTCTGTAGTAGGCACTCCGACAGCACATGACAGCTGTCTTAGTGCTGCCTCTCTCTTGATGAATAAGTCCGCTGAGGACCGAATGGCATAGAACCCATGCTCTAATGCACGTGAACTTTAGGAGAAGGGAGAGGCTATGTGCGGTCAAAGGCCGAACAGAGCTGAGGTCTTTGGCCTATGGAAACAGGCATATCTGGGGAGGCTGGGGTCAGGAATTAGCAGTGACCTCATCCAGGTAAGAAGGGGAGGAGGTTTCTCTGCCTTTTTCTCTTTGAATCTAAAGTGAAGCTGTATTTGCAAACTGTTTCATAAGATGTTAATTGATGTTAACAGGTGGAAAAGAATTCTGCAGCAAATAAGTTTAGCAAACTAAATGGAACACAGTCAGCCCTCTGTAAGCATGGATTCAGCATCTGCAGATTTAACCAACAGCGAATCCAAAATATTTGGGAAAAAAGCTGCATCTGTACTGAACAAGTAAGACTTTTTCGTGTCATTATTCCCCTAGACATCAGAGTATCACAAGTGTTTACACGGCATTTACCGTATCAGAGTAATCTAGAGCAGAGAGAGGAGGAGGATGTGCACAGGTTCAATGCAAACACTACACCATTTGACACAAGAGCCTTCAGGATCTGTGAGGTTAGACATCTGTGGAGGGTTCTGCAGCCCGTCTCCCACGGATACAAGGGAGGACTGAAGTCTGTTTTACTGCAGGATGTCTCAGCCCTTTAGTAAATGTGTGCGCATGTAGCTAAGACAGCGATTCAGTAAGAACCACTTTCTAAACTTATTTGATCACAACAGTTTTATTTTTTTAATAAGATATCTTATAAGGCTCCAAAAGTTCAGAGACAAGAGTTACTTTGTCCAAAGAAAAAGTCCAAGATGTAGAGTCAATTTGCAAAATTTATCTACCTGGAAGAGAAAAGTAGTTGGAATCCCCATAGGATGTGTGAATTATAGAATATAAAGGAATGGAGCTTAAGGCTCCAAGTAGAGGCTGCGGTTTTCAACCTTTTCCCTGTGCTTCTTGGCATCAGTGCTGTGTTCAGGTTGCTGAGCCACTTCCTGGGTCCCACATGTTGGGGAGGACTTGTCTGCCTCTGCTCCTGGAACTGCACCCCTCCGCTAGTTCCCACGCTGAGTCCTCCTTACTCTTCTACAAGGTCCATCCACAGGCAAACCTCTTGGTGCTGTTGTGCTAGCTCCCTGGTCCTCCTTCCTCTCTGCTGCCCCAGCTGTATGCCCAGCTTCCTCCAGCCAGCTCTGCCTTATTTACTTAGGTGTTGTGTCTTCCTTGGAGAAAGCTTTTTAGTTTGCGAGCTTATGGTCTATATGGTCCTTTTCCGGTGGTTTGAATATATGTGGCAGTCTGGCAAAGGGGTTGAGCACAGTGTTGACAATCCACCTGGAGACTGAGAACCAGGCTTCCTTACTTACTAGTTGTGTGAGTATGGACAAGCCATCTTAGCTCTATATCAGTTTCCACATCTGTAAAATGGGGGTAATTTATCAACAGCCTCCATCAAAGAGTGGTTGGGAGGAATACATGAGATAGCACAGGGGCCAGGCAGGGAACAGTCTGTCCTGTTAGTGGTATGAGCACTCTCACCATCACCGTGTGACAGCGCAGTGTTCCTCATTTGGGAACAGGCACACATGCAGTAACCAGAGGAGGCTAAGTGATGGCTGCTGGGGAAGAGGTTTCTAAGGAACAGGCTTTTTAAAAAGTGGAGTGATGGACAATTAGCAAGTGGCAGTTGGAGGTAAATAGGCCTTTAAACAGCCTCAATGTGTCACCTCTAATCTTGTTTACATGGTCAATTTGCTTAACCAACTCTTCCTTCATCACTAGCCCTGCCTTAATGATCACAATTGGGAGTGCTGCAGATCCAAATACGGGAGGTGCTACTGGAACACAAGAAGGGGAGGGTGGGTGTTTGGGGCAGTAGTTAAGATGCCACTGGGGATGCCTGCTTCCCAGCTCAGTGCCTGGGTTTGAGCCCTGGCTCTGCTTGTGATTCCAGCATCTTGGTAATATGCACCCTGGGAGGCAGCAAGTGATCCCTCGAGCACTTGGGTCCTTCCCACCTACATGGGATACCCAGACTGAGTTCCAAGCTCAGGCTTCAGCCTGATCCAGCCATGGCCTGGCCACTGCAGGCACTTAGGAACTGAACTAGTGAATGGAATCTCCATGTGTGTGTGTGTGTCTCTGTCTCTCTCTTTTTCTCCCTTCCTCTCTCTCTCTTCCTCTCAAATAAATAGAACAATTTTTGAAAATTGAATTCATTCAGGGATCTTTACCTCCATTCTATAATTCACCCATGTCCCTTTTTCATGGTAGCAGTGGAGTTTAAAAAGCTAAAAATGAAGTCATTCTAGAAGCCCACTGTCAGAATGTCACTTTTTTTTAAAGATTTATTTATTTATTTGAAAGGCAGAGTTACACACAGAGAGAAGGAGAGCCGGAGAGGCAGAGACAGAGAGAGAGGTCTCCCATCTGCTGGTTCACTCCCCAGATGGCTGCAACAGTCAGAGCTGTGCTGATTCGAAGCCAGGAGCCAGGAGCTTCTTCCAGGTCTCCCACATGGGCACAGGGGCCCAAGGACTTGGGCCATCTTCCACTGCTTTCCCAGGCCATAGCAGAGAGCTAGATCAGAAGTAGAGCAGCTGGGACTGGAACCGGCGCCCATGTGGGATGCTGGCATTGCAGGTGGTGGCTTGACCCGCTGCGCCATAGCGCTGGCCCCAGAATGTCACTTTTCTCAGGAGAGACTTTAAGAGCTAAGCAAGAGTCACTGGAGAAAATGATGTTACCCTCCTCAGGCTGGGTCTTCCCTGCCCTGCTGGAGATTGTGTGCTGTGGGGGAAGGTACAGTTCCTGGGGTGGATGTGGGGAGCAGAGGAGTCCTATTTGTGAGGGGTAGGGGCTAGCAGTGGAGTGGACAGCTTAAACTAAGATTGGTCTCAGTTACTTCAACTTTCACTTCTCTACTCATACCTCCACTGCCATCACCTGCTCAAAAGCAGGAATGTTTGGTGCATTACAGTATTGAAAAACAAAAGCCACATTTTTTTCTACTTTTAATAATGCTTAATAGTGAGAGGATGGGATTGGGGGCCACAGAGGCCACAAGCCCCTGATCAGACCTCAAAGCCTCCATGTTGTGTGGCCACATGTGAGAAAAGGTGGTGGTGACAGACTCGGCTCCTGATCAGACAGGGACAGCAGTCTCTGTACATTTAGAATTGGGCTGGAAATGTCCTGGGGAACAAACACACTTTGTATGTGTGACTGGAAGCTATTCTGTCATTGAACACACACACACTTACATTACCAGTTCATACTAAAACCCAGGAGGTTCTGCACGCTGGGACCAGCTCCTATTTGATAGAAACGTGTGGCATGGAAAGGCTTCAGCTTTGCTGAAAGGCCCCCACTGATGTCCCACAGGCAGCCACGATGCTGGTCACTCTCCCGTAGATGGGCCCTGCCTTCTGGAGTACCAGCCTTCAGCTATTGACTGCAAACCCCAGCACATCTCGTTCCCAACATCAGCTCTATGTGGATCAAGGGTTCAGACTGGCTGCTCAGGAATGCTGCACTTCCTTGTTCCATACATATTTCCCAGTGTCTACACCCGTTAGAAGCGATGGTTGCTTTGGTGTTGCATTCCCAATTTGCCAGCCAGAAGCGCCCTGAAGGTGACAAAACATGACTGTGAGCTGAAGAGGAGGCAGATGTATTTGAACAAGTTGGCTCCTCTTTGTGGAAAGTGAGTATTTCCTATCATGAATAAGACTGCCTGCAAGGTAGCTCCACAAATTCCTTCCCTCTTATGTTTTAGCAAGATGGATTGTGGGAGCAGGCAATTAGCCTAGCAGTTAGGATGCACTCGTCTCATTCCTAGGTTCAAATCCCCAACTCCAGTTCCCTATTCCAATCTCCTGCTAATGCAGACCCCAAGAATCATGTTATGGAGTTTCTGCTGTTCACATGGGAGACTCAAATGTGTTCCTGGATCCCAGCTTTGACTTCCCAGTAGTTGTGGGCATTTTAGGAATGGGTAAGTCAATGGGACTGCTCTCTCACTCACTCTCACACTCTCTCTCTCTCTCCCCATCAAATAAATAAAAAAAGGAAAAGAGGGGGGAGAAGGGTTAGCCAATGTGCACTAGATTAAGGAGCTTTGGCTGTGCTTGGCAGACTGGCTGGCAGGATTCCAAGGAATGTTTGGGTAGTTCTTCTGTGGGCATGAAAAGAAAGTGATTCCATGCTGCAGCTCTGGATACCATGGTTTGGGTTCCATTTTTGGTCTACAATCTACTAACTCTGTGACCTTTAGCAAAGTGTGCCTTGATTTCTCCCGCATATACACATGGGGACAGGGCTGACCTCATAGGTCTTTGAAAGAAGCAACATACACTTGCATCACTAGTAAACATCCAGCACAGAGTCTATGTACATTAGGAAAAACATGCCTGTACTTATCCATAGAAGGCAGGGCTGAGGAATCCCAGACATGTGCTTGCTCTGTTGACCCCACCCTGGCCCTCAATTAGTGAAGTGCTAGATACTGGAGGAAGACACTGTCAGGAGGACACAGGCCCTGCTGGGTTATATTCACCTCTGCCATCCATTGGCTATGCCTGGGGGCAGGTGTTTACTCTTCCTAAGCTTCAGCTTTATTATCTGTACGTGGTGGTGATAAGAGTCCTCATACTTCATCAGGAAATTGTGAGGGTCCAATGAGATAAAGCCTGTTCCGTGCTCAACATGGCACCTGACACACTGTTCAGTGCTCAATAGATGGTGGTTGATTATTGTATTGATCTTATTACCCAACTGGCTGCTTTGAGAATCCTGGATGTGTCCTTTTTATCCTCTGTGAGAAACAAAGAGCTTGGGAGATGAAGCCCAAGTTTGAAGCAAGTATCTGTCTCACACCAGGAAGTCCAATAATTTAGAATCCCTACCCTTAGTTTTCTCATCTGTAAAGTAGGTCCTGCTGTGGGGTGCAAAGGACAGCATTCAAGCCAACATCACAATGTGATGCACAGTACATAAGAAACATGGATGAAATGTTGGACTCATTTTCAAACATCAGTATCTTTTTTTCTCATTGAATGAAAAGTCAACTCTTGGCAATTTTGTTGTTTTACACATTTCATGGTTGGGAATAGAGTGAATAATTTTATTATGAACTGAAATATTCTAGTAGTGCTTTGGGATTCCCGATTCCCAGGAATAAGTAAACTTTTGGCCTTCGGTGTCCAATGCTTGGGTCTCACGGTTCCAATCTGGCCACGGCTCGTCCCCTCTCTGCTCTCTACCCTGCACACGTTCACTCTGACAGCGGCAACGGGTTGAATGACCTATTTCAGGAGAAGGCCAGTCCTGGGAGAGACCCTGCAGGGGAGAATTTGCTAGAGTCCACAAAAGACTGGTCTGATAGTGGCGACAACAGGGAATCCAAGAGGAGAGAAAAGAAATGGTAGCATTAGTAAGTGCTAGGCCTCAGCAGAATTCCTAGAATTAAAGAGTCCTTCTCGGGCCACTCCAGCACTGGAAGGGTGAGGAGGGCTGTGAGCCAGGGTGGATGAGAGTGAACACAGGAACACAAGACGTGAGGGCAGAGAGAAGCAGACAGGCCCCTGGCTGATTGCCTGAGCAACAGTGCTGCAGCCGCTTCAAGCCCTGGGAAGGTGAGTCCAGGGCACAGCAGCTGGACCCCAGTGGGGTCTGGGGCTTACCTTGCAGGCTGTTCCCATTGGTGCTGGTGCAGGTGGGAGGCGGGGAGGTCTGGGGTCTGACGACAGGCGCGAAAGCACTCTTCTGTTTCACGGCTGATACCATGTTGGCTGGTGAGAAGGAAAAGATGCCCGAGGAGCTGCTGCAGTTGGAAGGGAGGCTTGTGGAAGAGGCCATGGTGGGGCTGGATGGCACAACTGAGAGGGGCAGTGGGAAAGGAGAAGTCAGTGCCTCTCGCAGCATCCTGTGATGAGAAAGTTCAGATCCAAACCCAGCCTGGACACTCTGCTAGATCCTCCTTGGGCAGCACCATCCCTCAGCGCTCAGGATCCTGCCTGCATCCATCACTTGGTACTCAGCACGAGCTAACTTTCATTGTTGGTGATCTTTGTGTGCATTTATTGTGGGCCTGTTATGCGCCCGGCAGTGTGCTAGGCTCTGGGGTCACAGGCAGCAAGTGCTATCAGGGGGTAATGACCCCATAAGTAGCCAAGTCACTGAGTGCTTCCTACAGCAGAGCATCATCTTCAGAGTTTTCTAGACGAGAAAACAAAACCACAGTACTGTCTTCCCACGGATAGAGCAACACAAAATAGTGACCTAAGTAAGCATCGCCAGCTCTGTGAAGTCACTCAGAGGAGGCATTCCACAGAGCTGAACCTGTGCATTCCAAGTTCTGGCAAAAGGCAGGGAATAGAAGGGCTACAAGGCCTTGGAGAAGGCAAGGTCACCTGATAGGAAGAGGTGGAGAAAAAGCCAGGATTACAACTTAAGGCACTGACAGCTGGTAATATGTGCCGTTTCTCTCCACGAGGTTATGAGCCCCTTGTTGGTACAACTGTATTTTAATGTTCCACCACATGGACATGGGAGGAAGGCAGGTGGATAAACAGTCCACCATACGCAGCATTTGTGGAAAACGCAGAACTGTAAGTTCAAGTTCCAATTCTTTCATACTCTTCCCTCTGTGGAGCTTTATGTAAGTGTGGGTTAAAAAGCAATCAGATGGGAGCCTTACGAAAATATCCATAGTATGGCTGTGGAAGGGCTGCACATAATCAGTGAGGGAGAATCAGGCAGTGCAGAATCAGAAAAGAACCTAGCTGCTGCCGACATGAAAGAGTTTGGTAGATGTGTCCTCTCTAGTCACCATGGTCCTCTCAGCCTGGGCTTTTGCTCATGGCTAATCATCTCTTGGATACTTCACAAGATAGGTTTTGCACACACACCAAGCCTGGTGTTTTCATACATTCAGTTTCTGTTTTCTACAGAAAAGTATGAACCTGATTCCAGGCCCTTAATTAGCATTCTAGGTTCTACCATCTACTTGATTATTAAGTAATGGGGAGAATAACCATTTCATATTGCTTTATCATTCACAAGAACCTTCCTGTGTTTTTCATCTTGTCGTTGGCAAGCAACCTTAAGTGGGGCTGAACACATATTTTTTTACACTTAAGCCAATCAAGCTAAAACTCACAAAACAGTTGAGTGACTTCCCCAAGGGCCATAGATAATGCCATGAAGACAAGAATCAAACCCAAATCCAGTGCTCTTTCCTCTGTGCCACTCTGCAAAGGAAACAGATCGCCAATGGGAGAACACCCCTTCCCATGAGCCCACCAGAATCCAAGGAGCAGCCTGGGTGGCCTTATGCTTGGTCTAATGCAGGTTTTGGAAGACTGCATAAATGGGAATCAAACGGGTCAAATGGGTTGGAGGCAGCAATGGCCATCAGGGAGATATGGCCCCTTGCAGGCAGAGAAAGGCACTACACAATCCCAACGTACTGAATGTTTTATGGAGCAGAACACAGAGCCGCCTTCCTCGGAGTTTTCACAAACATTTCCTAAACTGTACTTTTTCTTTTAATGAGGCCAGCATTTTTATACATCTCTTAGGATTTGTAAATGTGAAAATACGCTCAATAATAACACCCATTTAAATTGCAAAACTCCTGCACTGGAGGTTTGATTTTTAAATATTCGTAGACTTGAAATCCTGCTGGTTCACTGAGGAAGGCAATTAATCTCGTTGGCAAATGCGATCATTATGTGTATTTAGAGATGGGGAGTGTGTGAGGGGGGTGGCTAGCAGAGAGAGGGGTGAAATACAGTCCAGCAGTTCCATTCGTTACAACATTATTAGTTATCAGCCACCACACCAGAAAGTGTGTTCACCAGTGGAAGGTCTGATGTTATTTTTTTATTCCACTGGAATTTTTCAACATGAGTGGTTTATGAATAATTAAATATTATAGAGGCAAAAATTCAAATCAGCCGGGCTTTGTGTTTATTGTTTTATTTGCATTTATGCAGATAAAACCGTCCCATCTGAGAGCCTATTTGAGAATTTAATACTATATTTGTGAGCACTGAAGAAATCAATTAATGGAAATTAAATGTTCTAAGTTTCACAGTCTGACAGATGCAATCTTAGGCTAACATCACTGGGTGTCTGCGCAGGCTTGAGAAGGAGAAAAATCCAAGCCCCTAAATTGAATTGCTACCATATAGCAATTAGTTTATTGATTTAATTAAGAATGCCACCTTTTAATTTTCAGGTCATGACTGAAACATTTTCTGATTGAATAGATGGTGAACACTGAAATGATAAATCCTGGAGAAGCAATCTTTCAATAAATCAAAATCTAATGTGCAACTGACCCCAAATGTTGACGCTTGAGCAGACTTAATATGTACATATTATTTGGGGGAACTTTAAATGTTCTACAAACTGCTAATTGCAAACAAATAAGGTAAAAATAATGCATTTAGTATATCCAGTGCAGAAAAACCACTCATAAAGTAAAAGACCGTAAGTGTCCTTTCAAAAATAACTTTTCTTGGCTAATCCTCCGCCTGCAGCCCCGGCACCCCGGGTTCTAGTCCCAGTTGGGGCGCTGGATTCTGTCCCAGCTGCTCCTCTTCCAGTCCAGCTCTCTGCTGTGGCCCAAGAAGGCAGTGGAGGATGGCCCAAGTGCATGGGCCCTGCACCCGCGTGGGAGACCAGGAGGAAGCACCTGGCTCCTGGCTTCAGATTGGCGTAGCCATAGTGGCCATTTGGAGGGTGAACCAACGGAAGGAAGACCTTTCTCTCTGTCTCTCTCTCTCACTGTCTAACTCTGCCTGTCCAAAAAAAAAAAAAACCTTCTCTGAAAGAATTAGCACACTCCACATTTCTCCAATGAGAGACATTATAACTGTCAGTATTTTTAGCCATGATTGTTTAAAAAACATCACAAATATTCTTTCATTTAGCAAGATATCATTCTACAAGTATCTAAGAATGTGGCTACATTTTACAAATAGAAGGATCACCCAGAATGTCTAAGATGAACTTGCTTCTCTATGTGAAAAACCTCAGAGGGAGATTGAAAGGGTGTGGAGAAATGGTTCGTGACATTTTATATATGACTATAAAGATGCCAGTTTGCTGAGGCCTTTTAGATGCAAACAAAATGCTATACTAAGAAAAAAAATCCTTTAAACTTTAGAACAAAGATAAGGCAGGAAAGAACATTTGCTGTGTATGTGTATACTTTTTTAACGTGCCAGATTTTTGGAAAAAATAATGTTTCTTGATTTGTTGGTTTTTTAAGTACCCATCAAACACAACCAAAGGGGACAAAATGTAATCATAGAAATCAAGGGAATTACATTCCTAAAAGGGGAGAGTTTGGGTTTTAGGCTATTGTTACTACAGTGTACCACCACCATCCTTATTATCTTTCCGTTACTGTTGATTATTACTTAGACCTTGGAATCAGGACAAGCTCACCACGTGCAGTCTCTGATCTTTGACTCACAACATTGGATACAGTAGGAGCTAGTTTCTTCTCCATTTCTTGGATGAGAAAATTGTTGCTTGGACTGGGAGATGAACTTGCCCTTGGCCCTTAGGCAGCAATTGGTAGAAGCAGGTGTGTACCCTTTTTCTGACTCCAAACGTGGCTCTTAGAATGTTATCCTTTGGCTGCTTTTGGTTGTAGCAAAGTTTTGACTGTCAGGGAGATTTTGGCCAATGGCAGTTGAATAAGGAAACTCGGGATGAGGATGCCTTTAGCAGCATCACCCAGAGCTGTGCTTTGCAGGATGGGGGACCTCAGGCACAGGAGCCCTGCCCCTTGGCCTCACAGCAAGATGGGAATTCCTCTAGAGAACCCAGGCAGGACAGGAAACACACATCTCTACTTACTGGCATAGGGCGAGTTGGCAGCTGAACCGTTGAGGAAGGTCGGGGAGCCGCCCAGGTTGGACATGGCAGCAGAGCCATAGCCATTCATGCTTGTGGTGACTGAGTTGTAGTTGGTTTGCTGCGGGGTGGTGCTGGGCACGTAGCCATGGGGTGACACACTGCTTGAGTTGCGGGTGAAACCTGAGGAGGGGTGGGGTCAAAGCCGGGGTTAGGGTGCTGTTCAGATGGTGGTAGTCTTACAAGCCTCAGGGCAAGGGAGGCCTCTGCTTCTTGCCTGCTCCCCGCAACCCAGAGGGAAGGGACCGAGTGATTCATGTGTGTGGGTTGGTGGTGCTAGCTCTGTGATTAAAATGGGAAGCAAGCAAAAGACACATTTCTTGGGAGATCATAAATACTTAGCACGGCTGTGAGAAGTGGCAATGCAGGGCCCATAAATTATTATTTTGGAGCAGAAATAAATCCCAATGTAAGAGATGCACCCTGGAGTTCATGGGTCCCTATTCCCTGGGCAAGAAGGATGTGCTATGGGGCTAAGAACTTTAATTCTAACCCTCTTTGCCATCTGTCATTCATGGTTCACAGTGCCACGTCAAACATGGAGAATGCTAAGTGCATGCATCCTTTCTGGCCCTCTATAGCCAGGTTATCAGACAGAAGAGCTAGAACCAAAATTCTGCAATATCTGACACACAGAAACCAGGAATCTCCCCTTTAGGAATAAAACAATGTTTTTTAAAAAATGGAAATTGATGACAAATGGCAGTGAGGAAGGGGAGCTTGATGTTCGGAAGGGGTAAGGAAAGCAGGGGGTGGAAGAAGAGCAAGCTCTGACCCTGATTAGTGGCTTGTGATGCCTCCGAGACGTTCACAGCCAGTTGTCCGCTGAAGGAATTCACGCCCATCATCCCTGCATGGACCGAGGTGTTAGCGAGAGCTGGGAGCTGGTTGTGGTTGCGGGGCACACTGTACAGGGCCTCTGCAATGTCAGCTGCTCTCTTCAGAATAATTTCCTGAAAAGACAAAGGGATATTCCTGTAGCAGAGCTGATCAGCCTCCCATTCCTACCATTTTGGAGTGCTCATTCTGTGCTAGGCACTGTGTTCAGGGCTTTCAGTCGCTCGCTTGAGCTTCTGTAACCCTGCCTGCAAGCTCTTGAGGTGAGTTCCATCATCAGCATGTGCATATGCCACATGGGGAGACTGAGGTTCAGAAAGCCAAGGCCTCACTGAAGGGCGCATGCCTATCTATGGCCACAGCTGAACTTCATAACTCCATGAGCTCTTGGAAAGTCCATCACAGTCAATATACAACAGAACCACAGGGTTTCCCTTGCCCCCAGTTAGCACATAGGAACCTCGGGTGAGAGAGGGAGAGAAACAGACAGAAGCTGCGAGCCATCTCTCTTGTTGGTGTTGAGCACAGGCTGTAGAAGACTACCTGGGTCCCTGAGCATTAGCGACATTTCATGTCCCTTGGATACTGAGTCAGGTGACACAGCAAAAGAGACATGGAAGGAATGAGCTGTCAGACTCAAAGTTTTCAACACAGTTTGAATCCCATGCATGGAGTTGCTCTGTAAAACAGAAGCAGACACTACTCTTCAGGCTTTTTTATACTTTTTTGGGAAAAGAAATTAAAACCCTTTTTTCCCTGTAAATTTGCTTGAAAACCTGAAATAAAGTAAGTCACCAATTATCAAGTACATTCCCACAAAAGAATAGCTTTAAATGGACCACCTTTTCTGGTAAGGAAAATGATTCAGTAAAAAAGGCAATAAAAGACATTCAAAAGAGAGAGGACTGAATAGCTGTGCCAAGTGTTGTGTCTGAATTACTCACACTCCTAACTCATTCACGTGGGGGTTGTATTTGTCATGCTTTCTCATACTACAAGGAGTCTGAGATCATGAATGGAATGTGAAAGTCCACCCAGGTTAGAGGCCCAGCGCACTCACCTGGTTGTTGTGTGGCATCCCATACAGTGCTTCCACCAGATCTGCAGCCCTTTTGAGTATTACTTCCTGTCAAGAGAAAAGCAGACACAGACCTCTGAGTGAAGGCACGCTGCCTGTATCTTTTCACATGATCCTGTTCCAGCCCTTCCGGACGTACTTCTCTAAGGCTCTGCAATAAAGGCGGTAGCGTAGGGAACCCGAGTTTGTTGTTAAATCATCAATTGATCCTTGTCCACATACACACTTAATTGAGCCAAAAGGTGAACATTACTGGTACTGCAAGATAAAATACACCACTCAACAGTCTGCTATGGCCACGAGAAAGCACTGATATGTTTATTGCAGAATACAATTCCCTGGTCATTTACTATATTACTACAATCGATGTCATTCAGTGCATGTTATGAATCCCTAAGATGTGTTTATTCTGCACTTAATTGCTTATTCCTGGAACCATGACCTTATCAGTCAGGTCATTTTCGAGGGGTTTCCAATCAATCTTCAGCCTCTAGAAGCATGTAGCATTAAACTTCTTTTGTTTATCTCCCTTGTATAGCAGAGTCATGATATAAGGGGTGATGTAGTAAACCCACATACCAAGGAAATGCACTGTTTGTCAAAGGCTCTTACAAAAGGATTCTCCTGTCCCCAGAAGACCCCTCTGCACCAATTTTCATGAGTGGCAGCATCTGTATCTTTCATAGCAATTCTTTTTTATTTCAGTGTTGTTTGTCGTTTTCCCAATTTGCTCATTCGTTCTCCTTCTTAGACTGTTTATGCTCCGTTGCTCATTCCAGCTTAAGAAAAAAAAGTCTATCTTTTCATTTAGGTGTGCTTCTATATTTAGTTTGTATGCGTTGTTCTAATAATACAGGATACTCTATAAAAGTGCATGACATGGGAAATTTTTTTTCATTCTAACCAAAAGAAATAATTCTCTTTATTTTTTTCTAATTGCCTGTAGATTCATTTGCAGAATCTAGAATTGGAAAAGGAGGGCATATACAGGCTTGATGCATACAAAAATTGGAGCTTATTATTGAACAAAACCAAAGGGTATGATAATATTACCAGAGGGGATTTGCAGGAAAATACGTTTATCATATTTTGCTGTGGGTGAAGTTTCAAACAGAACTTCGACTGTAGATATTTTAAACAATAAATTTCTGTATGGAGATGCAGTGCTGTTAAATTTTCATATACTACAGATGCTGATCAGAAAATAGGGATATAATTGCATCCATTTTGCTGTCACCATAGCCTCTTCAAAAATCCTGAGCAACTCTTGAAATGACAAGCTTTTAGATACATATTAGCATTTTTCAATTTTAAATTCTCTGTAATATATGATAAAACAGTTGTCATACTGCAGTAACAACTTATGACATGTATAATGTCCTAAATTCAAAAATGAGATAGAGGGGTTTTCAGTTCTCAATAGATATTCATGCTTGCCTTAACCTGCTAGACCCTCTTATAAAACAGTATTTTTTATGTATGGAGTAGTGAAAAGCATTATATAATCAATGGAGTTTGAATCAATACATCTGAAATTATTTCTTTATTTGTAATGCAAGCTACAAGAGAGTTCACCACTTTTTGCTTGTGGTATTGTCTGACCATCGCAGTTAATAATTTACTATGGTATGGGCACACTAAACCCTATTCCCGGATCAAATTCAGCTTGTGCCGCTTTCTCTAAAACCTCATGGCTTTATCTGGCTCTTAGAAAAGATTAAAACAAAACAGGATTTAGTGAGTTTATTTGCTAAGATTTGACTTTTCTGGGTCTATGCTCATTTATTTCCTCAAATAAATATTTGAAGCTGGGCAGAGAAGGTATTTCTGTTTCTATCTTAGGAAAAAGAAACATGTCTCCTGCTTATCAAAAACATCATGATGTCAGTTTAAAGTTGAACTTAGGTACTTCATTCTTTTAACACTATAATTGGGGACTCAGAGCCCTCCAAATTTTTTTTTAGTGTTTGTTAAGTCTGAAAAACAAATCTGTGCAAATTATGTGTATTAATGTTATATATTTTAGGTGATAAAGTTTTTCAGTGACATAATCCACAGGTTTTTATTTCTCCTTATTTCAATACCCAGAGGTCTTGTCACTATTTAATCCTGTGGGAGTAAAACACATGAATCTAGTTTCTAAGTTGCATCTTTCTCTGATCTCCAATGCTATCCCTTTCATCTGCAATGCTGGCACATGTTTCATCCATTCACCACAGTGACACAGGTATATCCTTAGCACAGCAGCGTTTCAGGCCAGCAGTCTTAGATTTGAAAGGAGTGAACCTGGATTTTTTTTTTTCCTGGAAGTGATGCCCTTAAATGTTGTCTTGCCCATTTAAAAATGTCCTTCACTGCAGTATCAACTGTGGGGTTTAAGGGAGAGCTCGCATTTGGTTCAGCTTTGCCAGTGTGATTCAGCTTCTACTAGTTATTTCTGCAAATGGGAAGGAGAAAGGATATATCTGGGTCCTCTATGAGTTCATGCAATGGACCTGCAAGGTGCTTGGATTTCGGTGACCAGAAAATTGCTCTCACCTCCATGTCATTACGCTCCCAGTGAACTAGCCCCCAAGCGTGTTTGTGTTGGGGATCTAATATATTGCCTTTCAATCAGAGCTGAGAGCCACTGAACACACAGACAGAACATGACGAGCAGGTCAGGAAAGCAATAAAGATTTTACAGAGCTGTCCAAGGTGCTAAATTTACTCAATAATGGGTTTGGCACCATAGTGTTAACCTCTCATTTACTACCAGTTTGAGGGACTAAATTGAAGTAGCTGACTTCATTTACCTTGAAATGTATATTTTATGACATTATGTAAGTAGATTGAAAGGGCACTGCAGTTTTAACAATTTAAAGGCTAAAGCATGTTTAAGATGAAACTTGAATATTTATTGTATATTGCACTTAAAGTATATAGAATGTTAAAATGTATTGATTAAATTTGTAAAAGGCATTATAAAAATGACAGGTAGTAGAAAAGATGTATGCCTTTTAAAATCAAATTGGTAGTGTATGCTATCTCTTCTGTGGTCACAAGTGTAATTTTTTTGCAGTTTTATATGGTAATTTGAAAAATCTGTAATTTTACATTAGGAAATGATTGAGTCTGGGATGTTAAAAAAAAAAGAAATTTCCCATAAGGAGAAGAGCTGGATATTTCATATAATCTATTGTCTCTGAAATTATTTCTAAAGTCTTATTTTTTGTGGCATTAGGAGAGAGCATGGTATAAGAATCCTTCACTTTTAATATGCAATTTTAATATTTCTGAAAGGAAAGAGCACTTGACTAGTACTGATATCTAATTTTTCCAGGCATTTATTTGTCAGGAGAGATTTTCTCTTCTTTTCATAATGTTTAAAACGTGTTCCTGCTTGCAGTTTCAAACACAAGAGTAGAGATTAGACTTTTCCAAGATAATTAATCCTATCCTCAGATTTTTAAAAAAATTTCACTTGGGAGTTAAAAAGATAAATAGTTGTATCCTAAATTTTGAAAAGCCCCAGAGTCTCCTTGTAGAGATAATTCTTGTTCTCCAATCTACATTCTGAGTGAGACTATTTTTCTTTCTATTGCCTTGGAATTCTTCTCTTGAGGAAACCAAAAATATTTACTCCTTAAAACAACTGTCCACTATTCTATTTCCTCTCATAATCATAACCTAGCTTTCCTTGTCTTCCTATAACCATCTGTAAATGATTCATATGACTGGGGGAGTCTGCAGACAAAAAAGCAGATATGTTATACTAAGTTATTTAGAATCTATGAAAATACCAGGGAGACTCAAGGCAGGGGTGAGGGGAAGTTCTAAGAGATAGTTCAGGTGTAACTCAGGACTTGGAAGCTCATAATTAAAAAGATAAATGGACTAAAAACACAAAGAGAAGACTTGGCTTTACTTTTTATGCTACAACCAGTCCATCAGCTAACAACTTCTGAGGTTCTTGCTGCCCCAGTTGTCACATGTGGACACTATTCCTTAGTAACTTTCAAGGCACAGTTTCTACTATCACTGAGCTAGTTTTATATGATGACAAAAGACCCCCACCCCACCCCATCATCTGGCCTTACCCTCTTTGGCCAACCCTCTCTCCCTGTGCATCTGAACAACTGTTCTGTTCCAGTCTGCTGAGTCCTCCCCAGTACAGAAGCAAAAAGCCTGGCTTCTTACTGTCTTCCTATCTTCATTGGTTTTGTCTTTCCTTGTTTCACATGCTGCCTTCAGTTTGTGCTCATTTAAAATGCCTCCTAATCCTATGAAGACTAGTACTTAATATGGCGGTGTCAGTATGGTAATGAAAGAGAACTGTCATTTATTGAAAGTGGCATGTGCACACATCCAATCTTCAAAGAGAGCCACTTAAGGTATTATTCATATGGCCATTTGGCAGATGAAGAAACAGAGTCGGAGATGGCAGCTTACTTCCCTCAAATGTATATAGCTGAGGAGTGACTAAACTGGGATTCAAATTCAAGCTTGTAAGACAAAACCCAAACTCTTGGCAATTTGACTACACAATCAGAAATAATTCCACCATTACTGATACCCCAGCTCCCAATCTCTCTTATTTCTCTGAAAAATAGTGTTGGCCATCTATATCAACCAGCAGCACAGCACAGAAATGTGCTAGTGTTTGCTCTCCACAGCTGGACTCTTTGAGGCCATGCATATGTCTTAGTCACCTTCTCTTAGCCACTTGCACCATGTTTAGCAGAACACAGACCTTGAGAAATTCTTGAGTTTATTCTAAGATACAGTCATTGATTTTTAAAAGCACATACCCAATTTATATGAAAAGACCAATCTATGTATTTTTTATATATTATAAAAACAGAATTTGGTGTTCCATTTGGCTCCAGATTTTGTAATCCAAATTCCCAAAGGTCAAGTTTTGATCACTTTTTCTTAATGTCACTTTTTCAAATAAATTTGCTTTCACTCCTGCTGTCTGGTGCTTGCATTTTAATTTTGTGATTAATATCATGAATCATGTCTAATACAGACATTATCTCAAGTTATAGGCTGCTAGCAACATGAGGTTTGTCTTGAGGTACATCAGTCTTTTAATAAATGGGCCCTTGGAAATACTTAGGTATTTGCACATTCACAGAAATCCACCTTGGGAACCAGAAATATCCCATCAAATATGCTGATAAACCTAACTCATCATTCTTTCTGTTTCATGGCAGTAAAACCTCAGAGGATTACTCACCAGCCATGGGAGGCTTCTCTTAAGTGTCTGGCCTCAAATATGTAGCTATTAAGCTCATATTCACTGACCACATCTAGCCTTCAAGGATAAAGGGGGATGTTGTCTAACTGACAAATATGAACTCATTTGTAATCCCAATTCAGTGTTTTGAGTAATTCAAACCAAAATGAACACGTGAAAAGGCCTAAACTTTTAGTTCATAGCACCTATTAGCCGTCTCATAAAGCCAATGGGTACCGACTTACAATACAACATTAATAGTCACGGTTTAGACATAAATTTTGACACTCTGGGAACACTCCCTTAAAATTAAAGCTCAGGGTCCCTTCAGTAATCTGGTGGGACAATCTGAGGTTGGCTTATGCTTGCCCAAAGTGGGTACTAGTCGGCAAACTCAAAAGGCTTCCATAGCCTTGGCAACTCATGACAAGAGCCTAGGGTGATTACTGACACCATAAACAAGAGTGTCAATTTGTTATGTCAACAACAGGAGTCACTGTGCATTTACTCCTCATGTAGGATCTCTGTCCTTAATGTGTTGTCCAATGTGAATTAATGCTATAACTAGTACTCAAATAGTATTTTACACTTTGTGTTTCTGTGTGGGTGCAAACCGTTGAAATCTTTACTTAATATATACTAAACTGATCTTCTGTATATAAAGATAATTGAAAATGAATCTTGATGTGAATGGAATGGGAGAGGGAGCGGGAGATGGGAGGGTTGCGGGTGGGAGGGAAGTTATGGGGGGGCAGTGTAATTCATAAGCTGTACTTTGGAAATTTATATTTGTTAAATAAAAGTTTAAAAAAGACAAAAAAAAGTATACTAGTGTTTGGAAGGAAGAATAAAACAAGATAAACTACAAGCATCAAATGATAAAAGCCAAGTTGAGTTGAATGATTCCTAGGAAAGAAGGACACTACTTTTCTGTCACTGTGCATGGAGCCTTGACACTCATTGATCATCAACTACTTTGCTTTGTTAGGGATTCAAGGTGTAACGGGCCAAGTAGCAGCAAGATAAAGTGCAGTGGCAAAATCACTCCCGATTTAGAGATGATAGCCTCTGTTAATGAAGTCACCAATGATGTCACTGGACTTTTCACTCCATGGTAAGCTATGGAGTCTAGATTTGGAAGCATGCATTCAAGTCACTGGCCTTAAGTTTTGGCTCTCTCCCTACTTGTTTCTGAAGGGCTAGGTGACAAACTGATTGGAAATCCTGAATGATGAAAAATTGATTCAAAGTTTCTCTCAGCCCATTTCCTGCAGAGCTGGGTGTACAATGCAATAAGTATTTGTTGTACTGAGATGCATTTCTGTGGAGAATAAACTTCCTTTGTTTATTCAGCCAGATGGAAAATTCCACAATGGTAGACTTTGCATTCTGAAAAATCAGTATAATGAGGGCAGTGAGAGAAAGAGTAAAACAAACCAAAGTAACACTTGGGCACTGTTTAGTTTCCAATCCTCTGAGACATTCCTTAAATTTTTCATTTTTCTTGTAATATGAACTTCTTGAAATAGAGCTTACAGCCAATCATTAGAAGCCTTTAGTGTCACACTTTAAATACTCTTTACTCAGAGGCCCTATGACTGAGAAGAGTCACTTACACTTACCATGGATATAATTAAACATGTTTCTGTTGAAAGGGGCAATCTCATTATGGCTAAGGACCACTTTAGAGTAAATTGAAATGGAAAGGAGCAGCAGAGAGGAGGTGTAGGTAGCAAGTGGTTATTTCCAGGGAGGCATAAAATGCCAAATGTGTAACAATTATATTTTACAATCCTGTATTCTAAAGACTTCATAGTATTTTTATTATATAAGAAGATTCTGCTGAAACTGACTGCTCTATAGAACATTCTAATGCAATCCTGTTGCCCATATTCTTTCGAGAGCCATAAAATTCAAACCACAATCAGAATCGTCAGAAATTCCAGAGGAAGGCAACTAAATATATTGATAGTGTCGTCTGCAATTAATATGAGAGGCAACACATCAAAAGTCTCCTATCCCAGAGAAAATACAGGGAAGATTTCTAATCCTACTTTAACTTGCATTTACATGATAGCCCTCTCACTTCTCAAACTTATTACCATAGACCATCAAGTAGCAAGGCTAGAGACCTACCATAAAGTTTTTGCTTCTGTTGCAAACATGGTGTAGGAGACTTCTGTATGAAATTAAAGTAAGTTGTAAGCTAACCCAGCTATATCCACATAAGACATACTAACTGACATGATTGACTTTTACAGTGGAAAGGAAAAAAGCTGTTTTCCAACAGCTGTTATTGCCTCCATGAAAAAAAAAATCAATGAAAGTGAAATGAACAAGAGATTTTGTCTGAGTTGCAGTTAATACCACTGAAGAGCTATGGATATTAAAAGGTCAACAAATAAATTAGCCAGAGTGTTATGAAATGAATGATTTGGCTTATAATTTTATTGAGTGAAAATTGTTCGCTGCCTATTAGACCAGGTAATTTTTATCTGGTTCCTCAATTACTGTTCCGTAAGCAATAATACAGTTGTGAGAGCTGCTGGTTCGATCGCATGACCTCTGAGAAGCTGCCAGGACAGCCGACTTTACTATGATGGATAACTAAGCATGGTTTCCATGAGGTGCCAAGCCTCCCTTTCCTGCATACATAAAAGAAACATTACAGCCTAATTCGCTTTACCAAAATGTTCAACTTTTCAAGTGTCAGCAGTTAAGTATAAATGGTGAAACCAGGTATTCCTGAGAAGAGTTATGACAATGGCTCCCCCCACCCCGGCCCCCACCGCCCCTTTGTGGTCTCCTGGCATTCTCTTCTAAATGGTGTCATGGTAATTGGTGAATGGCAGCCTGCAGTGCTTCCTGCCACAAACACAGTGAAAAATGGTGTCTGCACCCTTGTGAATATGACCTGCTCAGAGGTACAGAGCTGACCCTGGCAACCTCTGGCCAGCTCTTCTTCTTCCAATTCATTGTACTGGTTTAAGACCAGCGCTCTGGGTTAGGTCCTGCTGTGTGGCCTCGGAAATCGACTTTCTGATCAGGATAAAAGCCTCTGCTGAAACAGAAAGCTCTGGACAGAGGTGCCTTTTTCAGGGGTAGGTTGTAAAGTCAGCACATGAAACAAAAACTGCTTAGAGTCAAAATTAGCCTTGAACATCTTCTAAGTCACCTTTAAGTCACCAAGGCCTGGGCTTTTAGAAACACACAAAAAGGCCCAAAATTAACTACTTCTGTTTCTTTTTGTCTTTTGTCTGTGGCTTCCCCTTCCCCAGGGCAAGGCAGAATAAATATCTAGGTTGAAAGTAAAAATTCCACTGAGCCGACAAAGAGACACGCTTGTCATCTCTATACATGTGTGTCTATGTATGTGAATGCCCAAATGTATGTGTGTATTTTTATTTCTGGACATGTGTTATACACTTAAACCTGAGTACATGATATGTGTCTATGCTAAGCTATGCTGTGTTTTAAGGATATCTAAGGAAGATAAAATTATAGTGGGTTTTTGCTACTTACATTGCTGAACATCTTTGGTTATTATAAATATTTCCAGATGAAGGATACGTGTAAGTGATGATACCCGTGGCTTTATGTAGGATCATGAGTATAAATGCAACTAGAACCCACTACCTCAAGACTGCTGTGGCTCAGTACTTATCAGGCCAGTGCTTAAGTGAAGTCTTACTAAAAACAGTGTGCAAGGTTTAAATCTCCTTGCATCTCTGTTTAAGAAGAGGATGCTGTGTGTTGGGAGAAAGAGACGAGATTACCCCCTGTTCCTTCCATTCGTCTTAAACTAATGAGTAATTCAATTCAGTGTCCCTGTACGCGGGGTATGATATGAAGTAACTTAACTTAGTCTTCCCCTTCAAGATGTCAGTGCTGAAAAAGAACTTGAAGGAGTTCCAGAACTCAGCTCTTGGACAACTGTTATGACAAGTCACTACCACAATGACTCTGCAGCTAAAGAGAAGAAGGATATTCTCCATGGTCTGTGTGTTTTTAACTCTTGCTGCCATATTGGCTCAGCTCAGCCATTTGTGAGCCAACCTCATCCTACAGCACCTCACTCTCTAGCCAAGCTTGACGGACTTTAAATGCTGGTTTGCAAAACTTCTTTTGGCTTTTTATTTTAAGTTCTATTTACTTATTTTCATTGTATTTGAAATGGAGAGAGACAGACAGAGAGAAAGAAATTTCCTTCCATCTGCTGGTTCATTCCTTAAGTGTATCCAACACTCAGAACCCAATCTGGGTTTCCCACGTGGGTGGCAGAGACCAAAGAATATGAAACAACATCTAATGCCTCCCAGGATGTGCACTAGTACGAACGCAGATCAGAAGACAGCAAAGACTCAAGCTAATCACTCCCATATGGGATATGGATTTCCAGAGGTATTGTAACCACTGCACCCAATGTCCAGCCCTGCCTTTTTTCTTCAAATCCCTTTTTCTTAATTCCAAGAGCCAGGGCACACCAATATTGGTTCAAGATCTAGAATCCAATAGACTTGGCTCAAATCCATGCTCTGCCAAGTCTTACCAGTCTCCATGCATACCTTTGTTTCCTCATCTGTAAAAAGGGCTAACGTCAGCACCAGGTTCAGCAGATGAGGAGTTTTCAAAAAGTTTGTGGAATATGCATATTATGAAAAAATCATGGATTTTTAAAGTTTTAGCAACAAAATAAACACTGTTAATCCAGTTTTCCATACACTGTTTGAAGTGCTTTTGCATGTAGCTAATGTTTGTCAAGCAATAGCCAGAATTCCCACCTATTTTCCAGAGAACTTTGCAAAATAGATGCATTCTCCCAGTTAATGTACACTGCATGTCTAAGGTGCTTGCTGGAGAGGCAAGCCTAGCTGGAAAATGCTTTCCAAGATTCTGAAAAGAAGCCGGCGCCGTGGCTCAATAGGCTAATCCTCCACCTTGCGGCGCCGGCACACCGGGTTCGAGTCCCGGTTGGGGCGCCGGATTCTGTCCCGGTTGCCCCTCTTCCAGGCCAGCTCTCTGCTATGGCCAGGGAGTGCAGTGGAGGATGGCCCAGGTGCTTGGGCCCTGCACCCCATGGGAGACCAGGAAAAGCACCTGGCTCCTGGCTCCTGCCAGGATCAGCGCGGTGCGCCGGCTGCAGCGGCGGCCATTGGAGGGTGAACCAACGGCAAAAAGGAAGGACCTTTCTCTCTTCATGTCTCTCTATCTCTCACTGTCCACTTGGCCTACGACAAAAAAAAAAAAAAAATAATAAAATTAAAAAAAAAAAAAAAAAAAGATTCTGAAAAGACAAAAGATGAGGCAGAAACCTCTGTTTTACCAGCTGTGTAGGCTTCAGCAGGTTACTTACGCTCTTTGAGCCTCAGCTCCCTCGTCTCTAAAATGGGCATGACACAGTACTAACAAGCAGCATAACACTGCTACATAAATCAGTTAAAGAAAATATTATTATAAAAAATGGTGCTTTCTTGGGACTTTTAAATGAAGCTGTAATCTCTCCAGAAAAATTTTATGTGTATGTATACACTTGCAACACACACACACACACACACACAAACGGATTCTACATATAATTTCAGATCTAGGCTCAACTCCCCTGATAACATAATTGTAAGGAATCAGAAATACCAAGCTCCTAAACTGAGCACATGATCAAAATGGAAAAATGCAACTTGCCTATACGTTTTCTGGCAGATGTAGAGGAGGGAGAAGGAAATGGATTGCATTGCATAGTTTGCTTTTCTGGACACCCACTGAAGCGTGTTTTTCTGAGAGTTGAAGATATCATAAGATTTGTACTTGCTGCTGCGTCTTTCTTTGGAGTAGGGTCACTGTGGTTTTTGCATGTAATGTTAATAGAGTATCCTTAAATTTAAAAAGTAAATAAATAAATAAGGAGAGAACGAGTGAGTGAGAAAAGCCACTGTCCCAGTGTGGAAGATAAGGATGCAGGGCTTCTCTTTACCCTTTTCTGCAAAGAGGCAATGTGGTTAAGCAAAGATTTCTTATTTGTATTTTCACTGATGCAACTGCAGGTTTTGAATTACTGATAGTCTTTGCATAAAGACTAAAACAATAAAAGCATAATTAGAATACATTGTATACAGCCCATTCCAGTTTTATTTTGCCCCAGCTCTGTATTTATGATAAATCACTAAACATGAACACTCTTTAGGGAGGGTGGTTTTAGGTCTCATCTCTCCACTGAGCAAAAACAGTGCCTGTGACTAGAGTCTGAATTTCAATTTTGCAAGTGTACAGTTGAAGTGAATAATATTTGGCACAATACAGTGTACAACTGAGCCACTAAATGGCTGATTTACTAAATTATTATTAGATGAGCCCTTGCTGTTCCAAATGAAAGTGCAGCCACTGTCTTCCTTCATGGAGTGTTCAAATTGTTCTGTGTTTAAATATTCAGCATGAGGCTAATGCGAACTGATGAACTGAGACTATAAACATTCACTTTCAATACAGATAGAGCGACAGAGATGCAGCATATCATGTGGCCTGCGGAGGTGAAAATGATTTATACTTAAGGATGTTGCTGCCTACTTCCATCACTTTAAGGTACTCTTAATTAGCCTCATGTTTGAAATGACTAATTCCCATATACAGGAAGAGCAGCTTCATGGAGACAGATTTTCTCATGCCAACAAGGAAGAAGCTACCCCGAGGATATGCTGCCTCTAGAGTTCTGAACCGTAAGTTTTTATTCATGGTGGGCTACACAGCACCAGCAGAGCAGGGCGTGTCTGCCAAAGCAACTGGGGCATTTGAAATTCAATGTTGAGGTTTTCCAACCTACCCAAAGGGTCTATAGTCTAGCCTTCCTACAATCCATCCTCATAAAGTCCTACCTCTTTACAACCCAACTCTGCTTTTGGGCCACACTGGTACTCGCTCCCCACCCCCGAGCTCTCTAACTTCTTTACTGACACCTGCTGGAATGAACAACAACCCTTTGCTCCTTGGACAAATACAACCCCTCCTGTTTGTTCCCCTTGGAGGGCAGTTATAGGGAAGCACTTAAAAAACTGTGATCACTTACAGTAGATTAGAATTTTTTATTGGTGCCGTGTTGCCATAACAACATGAAGACAGCAGATGACTTAAGCTAGGCTTGCAAAGCAAAAGGCTGCTCATCTGGCAGTTAAAATGAATACAGTTCATTTCACAAGTTTCCCATATGGACTCTTAGTGTATGGTAATGAGGAGACCATATGGTGAGAGAAAATGCACTGAGAACAATTGGGTTCCACTGGCTGAGTGGGAAGCTGGGAGAGAAAACCTGGGTGAGAAATTCTGGCGTGCTCTCTGGGTTCAAGGTTTGGCTGAGGTTTATTTGGGGTGGTTGTTTTCCAGAGTGGTTTTGAGTTTCCTAATCCGTTCCTTAATATGTCGTCTGTGCAAAATGACAAACATCTTGCAAATTTTGCAATATCATTCATCACAAACTGTCAGCAGTGTTTGCAAATCTGACTTGCAAGATCTTTTAAATGTGTTGTTCTTAAAAGGCAACAGTACCAAGTTTTTAGACAAAGTGCAGGAAAATTTAAGCACTTCTGACAAGCAGAAACATTAACAGTAATCATTTTAAAAACACTCACATCTTTTGCCTGCATGTTTAGCTGTAAATAATGCTAGAATGTATAAAAGCTTTAAAGTAAAAATGTAATAAATACTTTTTATTATATTTCATAAAGAATAACAAATGCTTCCAGCCTGTGTCTAGGTTACATATACACGCAAACATATAGAGATGGATAGCTCCCATTCATAGCACTAACCAGATTGGAAACCTGGGTGGACAGCTTGAACAAGACTCTAAAGTCAATTCTGTACTATACATGCTTCATAAAAGATGAATATAAATGCATTAGTTAGACACGGTGAGCTAAATTAGAAGGTCAGGCAGGGCTGGGAGGGCTGAAAAATCACACAACCAATGAGTGTAATTACTCTTTTTTAAGTCTATTAAGTGGTGTTGCTCTATCAAGGCTCAGGGGTATAGGACATGAAGAACAAGATAAAGTAATGTGTATTTATTACTCCCACTGGATCAATTTACCAGATATTTTCAGCTCCATAAAGCAAAATACACAAATGCAGCCTTTGTTACTTTTGTCAAACTGCTTTATTTTCACTAAAAGAGACTGGCTCTTAGAGAAAAATCCACATTTACCCTGTGGAGATCCCCATCCCAGACCTCTCGGTGGATTGAATGAGACAAAGTTGTTGAGAATGCGAGGAGGAAGGCGCTTGGTGTCTACTAGGGAGAGAATAGAGAACCTAAACACCTCAAGGCAAAATGATTCAGGTTTTCAGAGCTGAAGGAAAAGTGGGAACTTCATGTGGTGGAAATAGTGAGGTACTGAGCCCAAGAACCTGGGTTTGAATCTTGCTTTTCCCACTTGCTAGCTGTGATGTCCTGGCAAGTCACCAGACCCCTGTGTGCTCTGACTCCTCATCTGTGAAATGGGGTATACTCACTGCACGGGGATTGCTGGTCCCCTTTTACTGCAGTCTCTGAATCACAGGAAAGCCACTTTGCATAAATTATCTCAGTAATGCCTAACAGTGCTGAGGGACAGTTACTTTACAGAAGAGAAATCTGAGGCTTGGGAGGTGGAATTGTGTGCACCAAGCAGTGGATTTGGTTTCCAAAATCCACATCTGTCTGCCTTGAGAGGATCACTCTTTTGGCCTCTATGCTCTTCAAAAGCCCTGGTCATGCCGTACCGGGCTCCCAGTAAGCATGAAGTCAACACTGCCTTGTTCTCCAAGAGTCACAGCCAACACACAGAATGCCCATTCAGCTTGGGGCCTGTTCTAACCACAGGCAAGCTAGCACGCTCCTGAGGACAACTGACAAACTGAAAGAGAATGGAGATACCTCTGGCCTGCAAAGCAGAGACAGCCCTTTGCTCAATGCTTCTGGATTGCATCACTGCAGCTGCCAGCACCTCCAAGTTTCTGGTTGACCACACCACAGTCCCCTTCACCCTCACCTCTACATTGTAACAAAATCCAACCTTGACCCCAAAGTCAGACACGTGCTCCTCCCCCTCATGTCCGGATCCAAGAGAGGAAGACAAGTCTGTGTGAAACAGAACAGAATGCTGTGATTTAAAAAACCTTAGCTTTCCTTTCTCTGTGTGCACATGAAAAAGGAAACCAAGAAAAACATCTGGGGTTAGCATAATTACAGTATTTTAAATTTGTGTGTCCAGCAACTATCAATGATGGTGACTTTCAGGGACAACATAATTTACAAAGGATTCTGTTTGCTCCTGTTTTCCCATTTGGTAAATGGGAATGATGTCTGTTTTCCTGACTTCTCTCACAAGAGGGGCTCCAATAAAACAAAGCCTCTCCAAGTTCTTTGAAAAAGCACAAGCCTGTATACAAAGGCATATTATTATGGAAAGCTGTCTGCTAGGTCTTTGGAGCAGTTCCATTTGACAGAATATGTGGGTGGTTGCATGAATCTAGCATTGTCTATTCACAAACACATGGATTTAATAAAGTGGAGTTTGTTTTTTAAGGTGTGTGGTCCACATCTCATTGAAACACTCCTGTTTGACAAACACTGACCATGATTCTAAGAAAGGCGGAGCCCACTTTTATCCCCCTAACAATGGACAGCAGGAGTATAAATCTCCCCAGTCCACAGGAATACCTTGTGCTGGCTCCATCCGCCACTTCCTGACTCTGCCCTTGAACTCTTGCTCCACCTTAACATCCAGAGCCAAGAGGACAGCCACTCCACTCTGAGTCACACGGAGAGCTTCCTGGGGTGGGCTGCAGGCACAGCCCTTGCATGGTCAAGTAGCTAGATGCAAGCTGTGGAGTGTTTCCTTAACACACACATCCATTGTGTCCTTGATTACTCTTCCCAAACTCAGGAAAAAAAAGGGCTGAGAATTTCACCATCGGGCCACCAGGGACAAAGTGACACGTGCCTATGCTATTTGTTCAACATTTCTGAACATAACATGCAACTCTAAAAAATTATCTTGATAGTAAATACACAGTTTTGAACCCCATATTCCTATTTCTCTTTTCCTTATAAATAAGAGAAGCACTGACTTCCTTCTTCAGACTGTAACCCTTAAATCCAATTTATCTTCTATTTTTCCAGTAATTTTTTTTAAGATTGTTAATCATGGACCAGTTACTATGTGGCCAGACCCATGGAATTACTTCTCTGTATCCTTACATAATCCCTATGAGAACACCATGATTATTAGCCCCATTATATAAAGGAAGAAACTGAGGTAATAATTTGAATCACATACTCCACTGCTCATCAGGATTTGGATTTTCTGCTCTGCAACAACTGCAGGGGATAGCCTTCAGAAGTAAGGGTCTCATTCTCAAATAATCACAGCCACCTTTATGTCGAGTATTAAATAAGTGATTAAAATGACAATTTGACATGGCAGAAGATATCACCATTTGCATTTGACAGATAGGAAAATTGAGGAATAGAGAAATCATTTTGACCTAGGTTCCACAGCTGGTTAAGTGGCCAGTGTCTGAATTCCACCTTGTCGAGTCTCACTCTCCAGTCTGTGCCCTCAACTCTTACAACAACAGGCCTTGCAGATCAAATATTAAGTCGATTACTCAATAGAAAGTGAAGACACTCCCAAAATTGGGCCGATATTGAAGAATCTGGCAATGTATCTGTGCCTCTGTTTCACCATCAAGACAGCTAATCAACTGACCATTATGTAGACACACATCATTTATGTCATTGTGCTGTATGATTATCAAATTGTCCCATAAGAAATATCTGGAAGCTATATTCTTCCTAGACAGAGGGACCAAAAGGGAAACTTTCTTATGGAATACCTGCACTATGGAAGGGGACCTCCATTCACGATGGTAGCTCTTTTTTTTTTTTTTTTTTTCATTGCTCAAAAAGAATAAAGGTGGAAGTTGGAAGATGAGAACTTTTTCCAAGACAAGGGTATAAACATATGGACTCTCCTATGATCCATTCCTCAGGAGAAATGGTTTCAAGAAATTTTTACCAAAGTGAACAACATTTTCATCCAATGAAGCTGAAGGTTCAGACCAAAGGTTTGGTGGTTCTTCCCTTGAGGCCAAGGTACTGGACAGAGGTCTTTGCTTGTCATGGTCCTTCCTCTCTTGCCATCTCCCCACCCCTTCTCACCTGTGCACTGACCCCAGGGGTAGCTCTACGTTGGACAGGACCTGCTCTGACAGGTGACTGTGTCTACAAGTATAGCCAGCACACAGCTAAGATTTGGTGATAAGCTGATGCGCCAAGGAGGTTCCCTGAGATAAGAAGGATGCCAATTTTGTTTGTCTAAGTGTTTTTATGAGGCTCCATGGACCTAGATATGATGTATCTCTAGACTTACTATTGCAAGGAAAGAACGTCTCAAGTACTCATTTCACTGCATGGAGAATGAAATCTCATTGTGTTGTCAGTAAACAGTGAACAGGAATTTGACTAATTCTGTACTTGAACCTTTTTAGCATTTAACTGTTCTCTCCTCTGAGTCCTCACAGAAGTTGGTAGTGCTTTGGCTAAATAGATGTATCGTTTTAGGTTTTTGATTAGTTGTGCTTGGCAATGTGTCCCATGCAAGACCAAATGCCTCAGACACAGAGAGGAATGTCCCAAGCTTTCCCATCAGGTACAGAAGAATAATAAAGGTCAATTTCTTGACTGGCAATTAATTGATGCATAACATATATTACTTAATTTTGAATTTTTGTTTCATTTCTCACATTCTTGAACTGTGTTTCCCAAATAGTCTCTTTCATCCTATCTCATTTTCCCAGACTCAAGATCTCCCAATACATTTTCTCTGGCTGTTCTTGTCTAGTCAGGGATAAGTAGGGATTCTCCTATAGATATTGATGTTCTTTTTTTCTTGTGAGAATTAGTAGAATTAGTAGGATGTAGTGATTAAATAGCCCAGATCCTGGGGCCAACCTGTAAAGTTTGGAACTTCATGTAGCAATTTACATGCTGTATGATCTGGGCAAATTAATCTCTCTTTGTTTCATTATTTTCTTCCCTACAATAGGACTGATAACAGTAGCCCAGAGGGCTACTGAGAAAATAAAATGGCATAAAATATATAAAAGTAACCACAGTGTTGACTGGCACCTATGTGTTTGCAACTTTTATGAGTGCTTACCTTATAGTACTAAACACAAATGCACAAAAGTACAAGTTGCTTATCAATGAACTAATTGTATCAGCACCAGATTTTCTCCGCCAATCTCTCAAGTCCAAGTTTTCAGAGACCATAACTCAAAAAAGAAGTGTTCTGACCTTTGGTAAACGCTCAGGGTCTCCAGGGTGCCGGGGAATGACCTTCTGTAACCTCTGGAAACCATAATCAATGGTGGGTTCGTTGAGCGCTGCAATGAAGAAATCACACCATTAGAACATTTTTAGAAAATAAAGCTGATTTTGTGAGTTGTAATACTGATGGTGAAGATATAACTTGAAAATCCAAACTTTAGTGGAGACTTCTGAAATGATCATATGAATATTATCTTTGTTGAACATTTACGGCATCTACTTCTGTTTGCCACAGAGGAGAGTGACTTGCCCAAAAGAACAGTAGTAGTAGGTCTTGAACACCATTTCTCTGGACAAATGCCACATTCCTTATATGATCATAAATAGAAAATAAAATGGTATTTGATAGGAGCTTTTTAGAATTCACTTTATTTTAGAGCTCAGGCAAAAACATTCAAGGCTTCTGAGGGGTATATACACATTATAAACAGTACAGAAATTAAAAGTATCTGCTTAACTAAAAATCCCCAGTATGTGTCAAAGAATACAATTATTTCAGTGCCTTCTATGCAAATAAGCCTGAAAGATGAGGGTGAGGGGCAGAGGAAAATGGATAGGAGTGGGCCTTCTAGGTATAGAAAACCTTGAAAAGAATCTGCAAATAGATGGGGATTGAGTATGTTTGTGACTCAAAACCCTCACAACTAAAACAGTAGGCCCATTTGCCAACACTGGTAAATAAAAACATGCCAACTGCATTTTTCTAAGTGTTGTTTCACCAACAGAGAGAGAGAGAGAGAGAGAGACAGACAGACAGACAGACCAACCAATCTCTGTGGAGTACTACCTTAGACAACTGAAATCTCCAAGAATAATTCTTAAGGACATTTTTAGTAAGGCTCAGTCTTTATTACCATTTGAAAGCAATGGGCCTGCTGTCCCTATATCCACTATACAATCTTAAAAATATGCTTAAACAAAATTTAAGTGGACTCTTGTCTATTATACTCAAAATTCCTCCTTGGTGTATGAACTATCTCCAGCCCATTTCACCTGAAAACATGGAAACAATGGCAACTCAGTCCTTTACCCATATCTTCCACATTCTCTGAGTAATGGATAGGTGAGTATTTTTTAAATTTCTTAGTTCATTTTTTTCTTTTCTGGTATAAGCAAAGTTTCAACCACATATCTTCCCTACACTGAATAAAAAGATAGTCTTTGTAGGTCTGACATTCAGCTATACATTAGAAAACAAGTTGCCACATGCTTTCCTTAAAATCCATTTCCATTAACCTAAATTTTAAAAGTAAGATTCATACTACTGCTAACTTTAAAAAACTGTATTAAATTCAAATAGGTCCCAAGGCTAATGGAAGCAATTTGTATACCAACCCAAACTGACTGGCCCACTTTTCAAAATACAGGTATGATAATCTTGTGGTTTTAAAAGGACATTTAAATTGAAAGACTGTGAATTTAGTACATAATTATACCAATAGAACCCTTTAACTTGTCAACTTGTAAATCTAAAAGGCTATCAATCATTTCTAAAGAGGAAATAAACCTTAAAATTCCTTGATTGACAGTGCTTACTTTTTATGTAAGAGAGAAAAAAAAAAGGCAGGGGAAAAAAAAAAGGCTACATAAGTGGCCAGAAATCCATTTACAAAAGTACATTGTTTTACATAGGTGAGTAAAAAGCCAATAATTACACCTCCAAAAGACACATAAATCAGAGTAAGTACTTTTTCCTCACTTGTATATTTTAAGTTAGAGTGAACTTCAGATAACTTTTTATTAAAAAGATTTCCTCCAAAATGCAATGCTTATTGAAGTTGTTAATCGAGTACCATTTTCATTTAGGATAATGTAACCATTTTGGCAAATATGAGATTCTGTCAACCCTCCCCACTTTCCTAACAGTAAACTAGCATCCAGTCTCTTGTGGAAATTAACTAAAATTACACCCAGGTGTACCAAACCTCGCTATACTAGTGTATTAGTTAAGGCACAATATTTATTATTCTTCCCATTTTATGAATTACTTTCTACACCCTTGAGAAGACTTTTCTTAAAGTAGTCTTGTAGAGGAAAAAGTAAACCTATTTCTGCAGGGAAGTTCTTACTCATAAAATCCATAGTATTTAATCAAGGAATGCATGAGGGGAAGGAATGAGAACTCAGGTTTCAGGTATTTATCCTATCTATGCCCCACCTACAATGCTAATTGCCAACAAAAATGTTTAACCATCAATTGCAGCTTTAGACAATTAAAGGTATCATTTCAATACATGGCAATATAATTTAGCATCCAGAAAATTCAAATTTTTGGTTTTAGTTTTCAATCTATCACCAATAAAATTTGAATTGTTGATTCACCCCTTTCACATTTGCATAATGAAGTCCTATTGTGTCTAAAAACCTGTGGTTATTAATTGAATGACTATCTAATGTATTAGAGGGGAAGATGTGATGTTCTGGCAATATGGCCAACTCACAGCAGAATGACGGACACCTAATATCAGTAATTAAAAGAACCAATTCAAATATCCTATGGAACTAATAGCTAAAGAGCTGAGGAAAAGTCATTCTGCTGTCACAGAATATAGCTGAATTAGACATATTATACTCATTATTCAAAGAAAAATAAGCAACTGCTCCATGAAAGTATACTGCAGGGAGAAATATTTAAAATTCTGAGGTAAAGGCTTTTATTTTCCATGACTTTATGTGTTGTTCTATGCTCACATTTTTAAATGTGTTAACCTGCTTTCAATGGAAGCACTGAATATTACAATGCAATAGTCCAGGGCTATAGGCCAAGTTAACATGAAACATCCTAAATTCAAAGGAACCTGATTTCTCTGATTTCATTAATTAGATGAAAAGAATTAAGCCAATTACTGAATGAGAGGGGGAATCTGTTAAAGAGCCCCACTTAAACACATACTACATGCACCACAAAAAAAGGAAAAAAAAAAACCTTCTGAAAACATTAAATACCTGGGAAGGAGAATGGTTACATTATGGCAAACCTATGGAATAGAATATGAGGCAGTCCTCAAAGCAATGTCAAAATAAAAATAGTATTTACTAAGATATAATATATTGCTAGGTTAAAAGCAATTACAGGGACACATGCAGAATATGATTACTTTTTTAAAAAAATAAACGAGTATAGCATAGGATAAATGTGTATTTTGCTTAAATGGACAAACAGTAGTTATTACTTAGCAGTGGGTCTTACATTGCTTTTCTTCCCCTCTTTGTGCTATGCATTTTCTAAGCTCCCCACAAAGAGCATATATTACTTTTATAATCAGAAAAAAAGCTTAAGAGCAGGAGATTGTTGCTAAGATGGAATTTGACCTGCTTGTATAAAGTAATGACATAAGAAACTATGCCTTAAAAGGGGTCTGTATACCTTTTAATAACCTTGCATAGGTTATTACCGACCATAAGAAAAATAAGTAGTATACTTTTGGCCAGTTGTATAAATATGTGACTATTCATAAACTCTCTGAAAATCAACAGAGAGGGTAACAGGGAGGAATCATAAAGAATGGTATATTTATTTCATCAGTAGGGGCAGCCGTACCGTAGGGACACACATCGACTCTGCAAGAATGCAATATAAAGTTAATCCTTCAACAAAGTGACCTCATTGTACTCAAGCACAGGGTTCAGGGGGCACTGTAGAAATGGGACTAATCAATTTTCCCCTCAAACTTGGGATAATTCTGAGAATCTGGGAGAGAAAGGAAAAACAACACTCATTTGGGCATAATTAACCACAAATAACGATGCCTGAGCATCTTTGGTTGAAGAACGGGAAATAGCTGAATCTGTACCCGGCAAAGGAATGGAATGGTGAGAGCAACTGTGTGGCTCTGCTTCCAAGATCCACATGCTCTGAACAGGGTTTGAAAAGGAGGGTGTCATCCTAACCAGTTAGGTGTGATAACAGAACAAGTAAGGCTCTTAAGTTTAGAAAAACGTTATCTTACATAGAACACCTTTAATGTTCAAATTATCAGAATACAATGGAGTCCTATATATGCAATTTTTAATTCCAAAAGATATGAGTATCCTTTTTTTCAGTAATTATTTTTAGTGCCTACCACATGTATTTGCCAGAGTGAACTGGTTTGTGTCACAACATCATAAGCCATTAAAACTAAACTTTTAGAAAGGTTTAGTTAAATATCCAACCCAAAAGGACAAATGCAATCCTTTGACTGTGTGAGTGGAGTCAGAACCCAGCTCCTAGTCTCCCAGCCATGCTTCCTCTTCTGCTCGAAAATCCATTGTCTCCTCTTCCTTAGAGCGACCACCTCTGCTCCAGTTTCTGACAAAGCCTGCACTAGGTTCACAGTGCACTTAAAGGAGACACACGGATTTAAACAGTGACCAGGCTATGGTGGAGCCATGAACCATTTAATTCAAGATGCTTTCCACTAGCCCCTTCAAACCTATTCACAGGTAGGTAGATGTAAGAGCACATGTACTGAATCAGCTTGGTGGGGCTTTATAGCTCTGAACAATAGACCAGGGGAGGTTTGAAGCAGTCCTGCAAACACGTGGGGAGCGCGAGCCAGTGCTCCTGAGCAGGGGAGAAAGCTGGCAGAGTGATGAGTCAGCTGGGATTTCAGAAGGGGCTTCTCACCACAGCTAGGATGGGATCCTGGGGAAGGGCCCCTGGTAAAAGTGTGCCTGCCCTACGCACAGGGATGGCATGTCAGCTGTCAAAGTCATCACCTTTGAAACAGGACGAGCTGATTACACGATCAAAAAGAAAATCAAACCATTTCACCTGGCTTTGTGTTGGGACTGTTTATAGGTTCCTTCCCAATCTCCTCATCTCCGAATTCCCTAAAGGAAACCAGTGACTTTCTCTTCCAAACCCGTCTCTATTAGGCTTTTCTCTTTATGGACTTCAGTCCACGTGCTGGTCAGAACAAAACAGCTCTGGTTATTCAAAGCTATTTCTACATTGTCCAAATGCTCACATAGCATGAAATGCTGTCTATAAAGAAAATTTGATAATACAACTAGATGTTATACACTAATGTTAGTCATAAGATTACTAAATGCGATTTCAAACCACTAGTAATGAGTAAATTCTAACTGAAAACAGTATAAATATGGCCTTTTTGTGCCTTTAGTCTCTTTCTAATTTTTTTTAAACAAATTCACTTCACCAAGAGATCAAATAAAGACAATTCTCTTTAAGGGAATTTATTTGCAAATTAAAATCATGTAGTCAAGACAGATGCATTCACAGTTATGAAAATTGATTTTTCTCTGCTCACAACTTCCTTTTAAAGAAGTCACTCCTCTGTCCCCCTGAGTACTTATTCCTGTGAACAACAGTCATGAGAGGCTGGAGGGCCACGTTCCCAAACACCAGGGGAAAGGGCTCTGGGTGCCATTCCAACATTTGCTCGCAGAGTTCCGTGCTTTTATAGCTCAGCGACTCACTGCAGCGCTTTAACATATTTCTGGGGTTTTAATTTCCTTTTTTTAATGGTTGTGTGACATGATGTCATTTTGACTGGAAATGAAAAGAAATGCAGATATTAGGAAGGTAATATTTATATTCTATTGCTATTTAATGTCCAAACAAATATCTAGACGCTATGCCAAGTAATAAATAAAACCTCATAGCAGAGGCAATGATAAAACTAGCACCTGGGTCTCCAAGCTTCCCTGGTGACTACTCTATATTTGAACTAAAGGAGTAACAGCAGAGCATTTCCCTTCCAGGCAGGCCCATTCTGGGTATGAGAGTTATTACATATGTGTTAGGCAGAGCCTGTTTGTTCCATAATGGCCCCATTTTTCCCTCAGTCACTAAATTAACAACCAGAGGTAAACAATAAAACAGCAAGTTATCTTCACGAACCTATCTTTAAGAGTGACTTTAAAATATATAAGCCGAGAAATCAACCAGAAGACTAAACAAGAGCCAGAAATATTGTTACTGAAGAAATTTGCTGCATTTCCAGCCATTGGATGTTTCATTACCTGCCTAGATGTCGAGTACACAAATGGCACGCAAAGTCGACTCTTCAGTGGAAAAGATACACTCCCTAAAGCCCAGGCCCTGGTAAGGGAAGCCCTGGCTTTCAGTGTGAAATGCTTTTACAGCCTGGTGCCCCTGCCTCAGGCTTGTGATGCTCAGGAGAGCTCAGGAGCAGGCTCACTGAACCGCGAGATCCGGAACTGAATGCGAAGAGTGGCAAGAGGAAGCCAACATGGGCAGCATTAACCCATACAGGAGCCCTAGAAAGATTTGCAAACTGCCCTTGAACACGCCCTGACTTCTTGCTGTGTGGCAACAACTTAAAGATTCCAAATGAAAAGCAAAGAAAGTAATACCGCTCTCTACCAAAGGCACATCTGATGCATTTAGGTGGCTTGTGTGGCCGAGTCCTCTTTGCAGAGCGGAGCCAGGGGACTATGCAAAGCAAGGGTTGCAGACAGTCAGCTGGAAGAGGAAGAGTCCAGGTTGATGAAATGCAGAGGCTCTTAGAGACAGACTGAGATGTAAGACCCTGAGGACTGTGGCCTGGAATGCAAAGAACTTACATATGTTTGTGAATTAATAACAATTCAAGAAGCACAAGCAATCAAGAAGAGGAAGAAAGAAAGAAGAGTGACTTGCTTTTGTTCTTCAAAATGAAATAGCTTTATTGTATTTCTAAACCTAAAAGCAATACATTCTTAATACATAAAAATTTTTGAAAGCGGGAGAGGGAAGAATTCCTGTAGCACCCCTAGTGCTATAAGCACTATTTATATTTTAGTATGTGTATTTTCAGACAGTTTCACACTGCTGTTTTGTATAAATAAAGATTCTATCTATATTTAGACTCACCTCATTGTTTCCCCACATTTCCACTGGGTTAAGAAGTGTTATAATGAACAATACCCAGGAAAAATTCCTGGGTAATAGAAATGCACATTTCAAATCTTTTAATACATAGATTTCCTAACTATCCTTCATAGGATTTATACCAATTTATGTTTCAATGGGTTTCTTTTAAAGGTGTCTGCAAAAGAAAACTAATTTTTACAATTTTATATCTTTAACCCAGTTATTCTCTAAGTTATAAAGACCGACCTCTGAAGATTTTTAGTAGATGTTAACAATCCCAATGAGCCCTTATAGAGGTGACATCTTCAGCATAGCCTGAGGTCATCGAAGACCGTTTTCCTGGCAATATCAAAGTGTTTCATAGACATTATCTCTTTTTTTATCTCAAATATTCCTATAGAATGCTCTTAATATCAATATTGAAAAAAATACTTTCAACTCAGGTGGGAAACTAAGGTGGCATAAATTAGTACAGATGCTTCACTGTTGATTTTTTTTACAGTACTTTCTGTTTCAAGATAGCTATTTGCCTTACTATTGATGAACCTCAAACTGCAGCAGACTGACAAGTCCTGATACCAAATCAATTAAACCTCTCCTTTTTCACAAAATATCTGAGAAACAGAAGTTCATCTTCAGCTGTTATCTTTGTGTCCAGAATCCTGACTTTATACAGATGAATGAGCTGCTCCAAGGCCTGACTTCTGTACTTAAAGCTCACCACACCAACAAGCACAAACTGTTGCAGGAGGCCACCCTGGTATTTTAAAGTTGCCCCACAAATCATCAACCAACTGTATTTCCTGCCTCACCAAAATGTCCGAGCCTACAAAGCTCTCTCAAGAACTGAACTGTCCTTTGGAAAGAGCAGACACGTAGTGGTGTAGAGATGCCTTAAATCAATGTGTCTCCTACCACAACCAGTCAGCATTTTACAAGATCCTCGGTGAGAAGCTGCGGGAAGAAGTGGAGCATTTCCTCTCGAACAGCCCCTGTCTCACCCTGGAGCATTTACTCAGTCTAAAATGGGAAGTAGGTGAGCCTACAATAATTAGAGAAAACTGAACTGCTCTCAAATTGTAATGAAGCTGATGAGAAAAGACGCCCCTGTTATTGTGTGTGATGTGCTCTGAACAGCCTGGCCTTCCAGGAGCCTTAATTTAGATTTCCAAATTTGATCCAAGTTTTAAAACTAAAATTAAATCCCTTAAGCAAACAGAAGCTCACTCTTTTTTTTTTGTCTTTCAATCTTATGGATTTAAAGAAAAAATGGATCATTTATGATTAGATTTCAAAGCCAGATCTGCTCCTTTAAAGGAAAAAAGGAGGATGATTTTCTCTGTGTAATGGATGATGGTGTTTAAGTACTGAAGGCCAACATACTCTGTCTTTCGTTCTTAACATTTAAGGATAAATCCATAATTCTCTTCCCTACTGACACATCTTCTGATATAACAAGAGTAATATTACTTCTATAATTGTTCTTCAGATTTCTTCCCAAAGAGTTTTGACAATAACTGTTATCAAGGGGGTAAAATCACCCAGCCTGTCTGATAAACATGTTTTCTTATGTTCCCACCCCAGCGAGAGCTGTGACACCGTACTTTTATCATCCAGTGTGTGTACAGAATAAGCTTAGAACAGCAATTGCCGAGAATAGGCAGGCGATAAACCGCATTGATTTAACACATCTTGTTTTCAATCATGCTTGGATTTTCTGAGCACGCATTTTTCCTGTACTCTGGCTTGTAGCTTTTATCTGACGAGCTGATCCCTTTTCACTGGAAAATGAAAAGGTCGCACAATAAGACACGGTTTACTGGAACTTGAACACGCACCAGGGAAAGTATTTTAGATAAATACTGTCAGACATAGTGGAGCTGAATTTCAACAACGCAATTGCTAAACAACAATACTTATTACTCTCCTAGAACAAGCCTACAAGCAACTTACGGCTCACAGCAGGGGATAGCACCGAGTCAGGCGCCAAAGCTAAGAAACCCTTCCCTGAGCCTCATGCTAACCAAGCACAGAGTTTTGGGCTGAGGTCTTCTTCATGATTGTTAATAACACAGTTTATGAAACAACTCGGAAAAGTACCCCCACTGTTCACCGAGTCATTTCCTCTAAACCAGCGGACAGGTTTCAGAGGAGCTGGATGATGAAGCTACCACAGAGCTCTGCAGACAGACCAGGAGGAATGAGAAAATCCCAAGGAAAGTGAGAATCAACCTGACTCTAACTAATCCATTAATTCCACTAACAAGACAGGAAAGTGCTTCTAACTGGGAGATATTAGAGGATCAAGTGATTATTTGGTAATGTTTTAATGGCATCAAAAGAATCATATACCATATGTAGAGACCGACAGTGGCCTTGCAGATAAGCCTAGAAGTTTTTATCAGCCTGAATTCAAGCAACGTAGCATCTTGACACACAATAAACGAAGTCCATCTTCCTCAGTTTTGACTCACATCACAAGGCTCAGCCAGGACACACTCTTCCACTTCAGCATCAGAGTCTGGAATTCTCTTGTTTTGGCCTTGCCACAAATTCATTATGTCTTCATGCATTGTGTGCCCCAGAGTTGCCCCAGCTTTCTCTGTTCACAAACCACGAGTGTCTTGAAAACCATCTCAAAGCATCCCCAAGTCAAAAGAAAAGCCCAACAGTTCTATTTACTAACCACCTAGTTCTAAACAACTGAATGTTCAAGTCCTAACAACTTGGTAGCCATTAAAAATAAAGCAGTACAAGGAAACTGAAAAAAAAAAAAAACATGGTATTTTCATTTAATGTTTAAATACTCACAATAACTTACGGGATGTGAATTTTCGTTGGGCACCACACAACTTTGTGAACCTCAGAATCAGATTGAATACTGCCACCCTCATGTTCTATTCCATAGTGACTTGTACATGGCAGTTCCTTTTGACCACAGTAACTGCTGCAAACCCAGATTTGCAAAGGCCTGACGCCATCAAGAGGCACGAGCTATGAGCTTCTATGAACTAGTAGATCACAGAACTACTTATTGAAAGTATTGCTATTTGCTTATGAAAGTATTGCTATTTCTGTCATATTTAAAAAGCCATTGTGCCCATGTGAGGTTGCAGGATGCCTTCATGCATAAGTACAGGAAACTTGGATCCACTGAGAATCACAGTATTACTTACATGCTACAGTACTACAAGAATCTATTGTTGGCTGGTGCTGTGGCTCAATAGGCTAATCCTCCGCCTGCGGTGCTGGCACCCCAGGTTCCAGTCCTGGTTGGAGCGCCGGATTCTGTCCCGGTTGCTCCTCTTCCAGGCCAGCTCTCTGCTGTGGCCAGGGAGTACAGTGGAGGATAGCCCAAGTGCTTGGGCCCTGCACCTGCATGGGAGACCAGGAGAAGCACCTGGCTCCTGGCTTCAGATCAGCGCAATGCACCGGCCACAGCAGCCATTGGAGGGTGAACCAACGGCAAAAGGAAGACCTTTCTCTCTGTCTGTCTCTCTCTCTCACTGTCTACTCTGCCTTTCAAAAAAATAAATTAATTAAATAAAAAGAATCCATTGCATCCATTAAGTGTGACTTTTCCTCTAGTAATAGCTATCACAGCGGTGACAGCAGCAGATGACATTCCCTGAGGACTTACTGTGTGTCATACAGTTTACATGAGTTCATTTATCTCATTTGCACAGTGATCCTATAAGAAAGCACTATTATTATTCCATTTGACAGAAAGGGAAACTGAGGCTTGAGATGTTACCTTGTGTAAATCTGCAGACAACCACATGAGGAAAGCTTGGGGGTCTCCCAAGCAGATCACTGTTAATTTTGGCCTCCATGACTTTTCTCTTGTTTTTCTTGCTCTCCATCTAACATCATATTTACAATCTGTTCCCATTCTCCTTTGTCTTGAATTATGTCCCATGGACACCTGTGTCACCTGGTGCAGACCTCATTTGAGTTCCAGCTCTCCACACCACACCCTTCTTCCCCTTGGCTGGGACAAGGGACAAGGGAAGAGAAATGCAAAAGGCGTGGGTTCAAATAACATGGTGCTATTGTTTGGATAGCATTTGGCCCCAAAGATTCATGTGCTGAAAGCTTAGTCCCCAGTGTGTCCGTATTGAAAAATGGTGGGACCTTCAGGAAGTGGAGTCCAGTAGAAGGTGATTGAGTCACAGCCACCTTGCTGAGGGATTAATGGTGGTCTCACAGAGTGGGTTAGGTCTCACAGCAGTGGGTTTGTTTCCAAGACAGTGAGTTGTCTTAAAGAGTGACCCTAGTCCCTCCTGGGTCTCTTGGTTCCTCTCTCTCTCATAACACTCCTACCCTGGGAGTTATTCACTTGAAGCCCTCACCACAGCTGAGTGGATATTGGTGCCATACACTTATACCTTCAAATTATGAACTAAATCTCTCTGTGTGTGTGTGTGTGTGTGTGTGTCTTTCTCTCTTTTAAATTACCCAGCCTCAGCTATTTTGTTATAGCAACACAAAATGCACTAAGGACATTGAATTTGGTGAACTTTTGGCTTGCATGTTGGGAGTAGGGTACTGAAGATTAACCCCAAGAAATATTATTGGCCTTGAGTGCCTTGCTAAAAACTTTACTTGGTAGGCAACAAGGAGGTATTTAAGATTTTCCATAACATAGGATCATGGGAGTGAGTGACACAATCTGATCTACATTTCAAAGAGATTACCAGAAAGGTCAAATGAAGGATGGGTTCTAAAGTCAGCACTATTATAATAGTCTCAATGGAAAATGAAAGACCAACTAATGACCAAGTGGCCATAGAGGAAGAGGTAAATTTAAGAGATATTTTAGGCCGGCGCCGTGGCTCAATAGGCTAATCCTCCACCTTGCGGCGCCGGCACACCGGGTTCTAGTCCCGGTCGGGGCGCCGGATTCTGTCCCGGTTGCCCCTCTTCCAGGCCAGCTCTCTGCTATGGCCAGGGAGTGCAGTGGAGGATGGCCCAGGTGCTTGGGCCCTGCACCCCATGGGAGACCAGGAAAAGCACCTGGCTCCTGGCTCCTGCCATCGGATCAGCACGGTGCGCCGGCTGCAGCGGCGGCCATTGGAGGGTGAACCAACGGCAAAGGAAGACCTTTCTCTCTCTGTCTCTCTCTCTCACTGTCCACTTTGCCTGTCAAAAATAAAAAAAAAAAAAAAAAAAAGAGATATTTTAGACTATAATTTACATGACTTCAGGAACATGTTAAATGTGAGAGATTAGGAAGAATAAGGAATGACTCTAATATTTCTGATTATCTGGTTTGATAAAGATTCAAAGATAATAAAGGAAGGAGAAAGGCAGGTCAAAATCAATGACGAGTTTAAAATATAAAGGGTTGTCAACTCCATCTAGTATAGCTGGGTGACCCATCAGGAGGTACCTGAAGAAAAATTGTGCACGAGAAGCTCAATTTTAACAGAATTCTGAATGCTTTGACCTTAAGACTCTGGATTTCTCAATAACTTTCAATAAAAAGATCTGAACACAAGTGAGCAAGTGTGGTTGGCAAGTTTGCTTACTTATCATAAGAGGTGTAAGAGTACAGATACTCCATCCCAGAGTCGAGTCACCGCCATCCTAAAGAAGCATGTAGAACTCCAGATGGCCAGAGACAAAAGCTACAGTGTTCATCTAGAACAGCTAAGATGATGGATCTAGAGCTTATCTTTAGATCTTTAGATGGGGCTGATTCTTGGTAGTACATTTTGAGGGATGAAGATGGGAGACTTTTCATGGCTCTTGTTTTTTTTTTTTTTTTTTTTTTTTTTTTTTTTTGGCTCCAATTTTTTGATGTCAGTCTTCTAAGAAGTAGGTATACTGATGTTGATCCCTTGAGACACTGAGTAGAGTTTTACTTCTACCCACCCAAAGTTTGGACCTGTGATCCAGGGCGGGGAATGGGTCCCTTTGCCCTAAAATATTGATAAAATACAATGTTTGCATAACAAGAATTTTATGTTCCCCTTTGGACCTTGGTGGTCTTAATATTGGTCCCTGGAGTCTTGCAATCAATACATGTTTAGTTAAGCAATTCACTTGTTTTGGACTAACAGTTATTGTGTGGGCAATGGGTATGTGGCCACTTCCTCAATAACCCCATGTCTCCTGATGCAGTGAACATTACAATCACACATTTGTTGCTATTAGCTCATGAGATGCTGGAAACCAATTTTGAAAAGCAAGTAATAAAGCACCACATAAAAAATAATGGTGTAATTACTTCTTGGTCAGGTTAAACCTACTGTGACGATAAAAACCAAAAGGAACACCAAGCATCATAAGTGGATTTACTATAAATTTGACACTAGTCCTGACCTTCAGCAAGGAAAAGATTTGAACCCCCTCACCTAAGCTAGGTAGATAGAAAACCATTTATGTTATATATATTTACCAAGTCTCTGTTGAAAAGCACTTTAATGAATTTATCCCATTTATGCATATGTCAACACTCAAAACAAGAGACCGAACTTTACAAAATTACTTCACCAAGGCTTTCAGAGTTTCATCTGAATTTAAGTTGCAAAGAAAAGGGGATGTAGGGGCTGCCTCTGTGGCAAAGCTGGTTAAGCCACCATCTGCAGTGTTGGCATCCCATATGGATGCCAGTTCAAGTCCCAGCTACTCTACTTCCTATCTAGCTCCCTGCCAATGGCCTGGGAAAGCAGCAGAGGACAACCCAAATTGTTGGGCTCCTGCGCACATGGGAGAGACCTGAAAGAAGCTCTTGGCTTTGACCTGGCCCAGCCCCAAAAGTTGCAACCATTTAGGAGGTAAATGAACAGATGAAAGATCTCTCTCTCTCTCTCTCTCGGCCTTCAAATAAATAAAAACAAATTAAACAAAAGGGGTCTAGAAAATGGGTCAGAGGGCAAAAACATGCTGATATAATTTGTTCTCTAAATGTAGTGGGAGGAGGAGGAGGAGTCTCACTGGAATATAAAGTACACTGATGGAAGTGAAGGAAGTGCTGCCTCTTGTTGTTGATCTGTGAGCAAACACGCCAGTAATTACTAAGGTAAACAGAAGAAACAAATCAGCCTTGACTTTCAGGCTGTGATTCTTCCACTTGTCTCTGTAGCAAGTGAGGCTGCCCTGATCACTAAAAATATCATGGGAATATAGGTAGGAATAGGGGATGAGAGAGAGGCTTAGCCAAAGTTATGGCAAGAACTTGTAAGGAGACATGGCACAGTAAATATTGAAGGATATGATTAAGTTTTCATTAGAGCTGTCCAGGTTATTTCTAGCTCTTGAGAAGACTTCTAGTTAACATCCCTTTCTTAGTTCACGTAAGAGTTGCAAACGGTTCTCCTAAGGTACCTACATCCTGAACAGACTTTATGACAAGATACTATTGGAGGATAGCATCGATCACAGCCTGTGATAAACAGCAGTGAGCTAATTTACTACTAATAAAAGTGACTCTGTAAGTTAATTCTCAACAATAATAACTTGAATGGAGATATAAGAACTCCTGTGTACTGATGGTTGGTTAGAAACTGGTATAGGCTTTCCAGAGGGCAAAGTAACTATCTATGGGTAAAGAGGATATAAGACTAACCTTAGAGACCAAATCTTCATTAAGTTCTGGAACAATCTCAGAAGTAGCCCAAGGCCACAGAAACCACTTCTAATGTCTATTTTTTCAAGTGGGCAAAGGCCCGGATCAGCCAACCCAGCCACTTCATTCTTCAGAAATGCCATCTAGTACTACAAGACAACACTGTTCCTGCTGAGACTCCTCTGGGCCTCTTCTTCCTTCTCACTAACATTGCAGACTGAAGTTCCTTGAACTGACTCTTCCACTTCTCTATATATTAATGGGTGCAATGGACCTGCTTAAAACAAATAACAAATGGGAAGAAGGAAAAAGAAGTGATTTTCCCACTATGATCTCTTTTTACAATTTTCCCTTATTGAAGGTTGGTAAATTTAGAGGACATGAAAATACATATTTAGCTCCATCTGAGGAATGCACTTTGCCTGAGGCCACTGTGTCAGATATTGCTGGATTTTTTCAGAGGGCTAGGATATATCTGCAGGAGCAGACACTGGCTTGATAAACTGCTGACATATTCCCAAATGGAAAATTTTATGATTATACTGGTACAATAGATACTGTGACCCTTTAAGGACAAAACCAAACATACTGGATTGCATTTTTCCAAAGCTACCAAAATGTTTTTCGGTATGAATACATTCTTGTAGGTCTCTCTTCTAACTCTAGAATTAACAACTTGATCTTGATGCAGACTACAGATGGGCAGGAACAGATCCATTCAATCAACTTCAGAACTTTACTGCTGCCAAAAACAAACAAGCAAAACAAGTGCTTCCTTTTATAGCAAATACAACCACGCTTGCAGATCCTAAGTGATCTGTGCAAGATCAAATAGTCAGCTAATAGCTGAATCACAATTGAAAGTCAAATGCTGGAACTCAATCTACCCAAGACTCCCCAGATCATTCCTTCACATAAGCCTATTTAAAGTAAAAAGGGGTCTCACGCTGTGGTGCAGTAGGATAATCCTCC